AATTGTATGGTAGGTATTATGAATGTGTGTCTAGATATTATTATTAAGTTGTAACCTTGTCTTTGTCTCCCCCCCCCCCCTCCCCTCCCTCCTCGGCCACTCCCTCAGTGTTTACAATGACCTGTCAATAGTTGAATTGACCCTTTTTTTATAAGGGTGAGAAAGAAACATTATAAGTTCATTTCCTGTTTATAAAGTGCGCCCTCTATTGAGAACTCTCAGTGGTTTTGTGGCCCTTCGGACGCCATATTGGATTTCGTGGTTTCCTGAACCACTGCTTAACGTTCTAACTTATCCTAATGGATTCTATTACCCCGAAAACCATAGCATAGACACCCCAATTATGTATCTCGGGTGGATAATAAGTGACTTATGGCCATTTAAATGTTATGGCGGCCATTTTGGACGCCATCTTGGATTTTAGGGTTTCCTAGACCATCACAATTCATTCTTACTTGTCTCAATGGATTCTCTGACCCCCGAAACCATGGGATAGACACCAAAATTATGTCTCTAGGATGGATAATAAGTGATTTATGGCCATTTTTAGGTATCGGCGGCCATCTTGGACGCCATCTTGAAAATAACAGATTTCTGAACCTTCGATTTTGGTATACGTTTAGTATGTTATTCCTGAGGTCAAATACTACTAGAAACCGTTGAAAACCTTTTGTTGCAATTGTTTGGGGTCAAACCATATCTTGACCTGACTAGCGTCTAAAATCTAGGCCTGATCTAGGCCTGACGTTTCAGCTCAGCCTCAGCCTCAACTTCATCTCGTAGAACTAGCGGTGAGCTCAAAGTCCAGAACCCCCAACGAGTCACACTCACAGTCACAGGACCAAATTCACAGTCTGCGCCTTAAAGTCAAACTATGAATTTTGTGTCAAACAAACTTAATTTCCACCAGAAAAAGGTCGTGCAGTATCACTTTCATCAGTGTACTGTAGAGATCATTAACAAGTAGACAAAAAACGCACCCGAGCACCCTGCAAATATGTTGCGTTCGTGTATGTTGAACAGCTGATTGTGACTTTTGACCCGTTGGAAGTTTTTAAACTTTGAGTTATTTGCATGGCATTATTGGATTATTTTGGATTTTTTGGAAACGTTGACAAGTTCTGCAAGAATAAGATATGAAATTGAGTGAGCGACAACTTTATTTCGTTTGTCCGAAATCTAACGTTAGATCTATCTATAGATTAGATTAGAGTCTAATAATACCATGACATTAGTCTTAATCAAGCCGCTGCGCGCTTCGGAAAAATAACTCCGGCGGTCCAAAGCATGTTATATTACACACCCTACCGGTCAATATCTGTATTATATAGCGCATCACATTGATACTTCAATGTACTTTAAATAGATCGAGCTCGTACTGATATAATGCGGTAAATTGCGGCGTGTTTTTTTCTTCTCGTTATTATACAAATAATACATGTCTGAAGTGCATAAGTAAATACGCACTGCGCGCAGGTTAAGTCACATCAGGATAATGAACGAGAGTACGAGACTATACTAATTGTAGAGTTCATTGTCCGTCTCACTGTGACTTAATCAAGTGCAGTGCATATGATCACTAATACACCGAGCTAAAAACAAGCCGAACTATTAGTTATATAAGATCGGTCTACAACAGGTGATCCACTTCGACGCTTCTCATTGGCTACATTCTTGAATCCATTTTATAATATACAAATAATACACACCAGTGAGGGCATTAGTAAGTAATACACACACAAGGTATTGGAACAGTCTAACACGCCCGAAGCTATAGCCGAAGGTGTTTGGACTGTTTCGAAAGTACCTAGTGTGAGTAATTTTACTAATGCCCAAACGAAATGATTCGTATTATTTGTTTTATAACAAGATATAAGTATTTACTAATGACCGCTCATAAGTAAAATGACGTGTTGGGCAAAATAAATGACTGGTCACGTGTACGCTCTCAATCAATCATTTGATTAGGATCCGCTTCATCATCTTATAATACGCGTAAATGAATGGCAACTGCGCGCATCAAAGGTTCTACGCGCATATTAACAGAGTTCAGTGCTATATGGTACAGACATGTGAAGCGTTTTGCATTTTATCCATAAATTATTAAATGCCGCGGTTTACAAAGTTATGTCTGAAAGGCTTTATGGTTTAGTGTTATATACCGCATATTGCAAGATTCTAGCCTTTTGATTAGTAAGAACTACATGCATTATATTAACTTGTGTATGCTGAACAGTATAGCGAAATACATTGACCGGGGTCACCGGGCACACAATCTATTCGCGCGTACGGTGCAAGGACGGGCAGTGAATACGGGAAATCTGACATTTTGAATCGAATCCAATCCGATCCAAAAGATATTTCATATAGCGCCTTTTCCTTGCAGTAACAAAGCGCTGCACACACGCTCCACAATGTTTGGGCCACTCAAAACAAAAGTTGGACACTTCTCAGATATCAGCAAAGTATATGTAGGCTGGTGATAAAGTAATTTCTAGCAGAATAGATGTGACTTGAGTAGTTTCTTGAACTAGTCAACAGATGAGGCCGTCTGACAGCAGTAGGTAGCTGGTTCCACAGTTTTGCAGTAACCGATGGAAAAGACAATTCACCAGCACGTTTCTTAAAGAGACACTGAGTGAGCCAGACGTATGATGATGAGCGGGTAATTTGGACTCGAGGACGACGAACCAAGCAGTCAGCTATGTACAGGGGACATCGCCGGTTGAGAGACTTGTAGACCAGTAGTAGGATCTTAAAAGCTATTCTCTGTCATACAGGCAGCCAACGGAGTTCAAATCGAAGAGGTTGTAATGTATGTGAGTCCGAAGAGGAGCAGAAAAGACAAGCCTTGCCGCTGAGTTTTGTAGTCTCTGAAGGCGATCAAGGTCCCTCTGGCTGAGAACACTGAAGATACTGTTGCAGTAGTCTAGTCTGGGAAGGACAAGAGCCCTCGCCGCAGCGTGGCATGTTGACTTATTGATAAACCGCCTCACCCTCCACAGGTTACGTAGGGGGTACTTTGGGGAAAATGCTCATTTTTCTAATGCGGCGCATAATTACACAATAATTGGCCGATGAATCTGTGGGTCTCGGATAAAACTTTGGCTCCTTTATGATCGTAAGACTACACTATGCCCCCTGCAAAGTGCAGTTTCAAAATCATAACGGGCTCTATAACCGTGCCCCTCAAAGCAGTCCACATATGTATATTAGTATTCCCCCTTCTGGATTTCAAGCCCCCACACAAATGTGTACCCTTTCCACTTCTTAGGGAGTGTTCCTACCATTTTTCACCGTTCATATGCATCCGCATTGAGCAATGACAAACACAATCACACTGGCTACCTCGCAGGTACGAATTATCTCTTGGGTGGAGAGTGTCAAATGAATGCAGATTAGGCGCCTTGGATTAATTCGAGTGGCAGTAAACACGCGGCTTTATGCAACGCGGCCTAGTTTGCGTGAAAGCCACAATCGTCCGCACCCCTCTATTCAGAGGCCGGATGCGAAATCCCCGCAGAGAAGAGAAAAGAGAAGAGAGGGAGGAAAAGAGATGAACAGGAGCAAGAGAAAATATTTTCTTTGGAGAGGGCTTTATACCAAGTTCAAAGAAACAAATAATATTTAAAACCTTCCGTAAAATGTGTTTTGCCCATGGGTGTCGATCTGTAATTGATACCTATTCATCAGGGGGGGGGGGGATGATCTATTCATTCATCCCCCCCCCCCCCCCCTGATGAATAGGTATTACGTAAGGATCGACACCCATGGACTTTTGCCTCTATGAGTTAAATGACAATGGAATAGCATAGTCTCCAAACAAGAATTCATGAATCAACACATTGGCTTTATGGCTAGCACGCAATTGTGTATAGCGGCGAGAGAGAAAAAAAACCACTTGTCTTTATTTCCATTAATTGCTGGAGAATTAAATTTGAATGGGGCTCCCATAACCCGTGTGTCTAGATTGACACCTCCAAGTTACCTCCCCGAAAAAAAATCTATTTTTTAAAAATTCATTCGGTTATATATACACAGATAAAACGTAATTGTTTAAAATGCTAACAGTTCATTACAATACAACAACTTGTTAAATTTTTTAAACAGGTCTTATTTCTTGTAAACAACCCTTTTAAACGGTGTTTTTATTGTGCATAATGATCCATTCCAAATATACAGAGTACAGTGCTAATTAGACACGAACTCAAGCTAAGCTAAATAACTTAGTTTAGCCGCAGAGGGAGCTAAACAAGTATGACGAATCTTTCAATGGGTTGAAAATTAATCGCGGTTTTTCTGGCTTGAAACAGACGTCACGGTCTTCGGACACACACAATGCAGCTTTTCGTGGGTAAATCGTGCATCCGGGATTAACTCAATCGGCTTTGATGCATGCGCTCTCTGGTTAAAAAGGTGCAGCTTCTCGCACATGAGAATTAATCCAATGCGCCTTAGTGTCTTGCAAAATCAACTTTTCAAACTCCAAATCTCGCATTTTCCTTCTTTGGAGTATTAAACACGGTTTTCTTTTAAGTTTCAGGCAAGTAATGATTTTCATAAGCTTCAGACACAAAAGCTGTAATTTATACAACGATGTAAGCCTACGTAAGTACTAGGGGTGCAAACATTATTGTAAAGTGTGAAACCTTGTATTGTCTGACACGTTTATATACATATATATATTTTGGAATTGCGAACAAAAATCCGTTCGGGTATCAACAAATTAGCGTTGACAGCTGGTCACACTAGCATTCCCTGTATTAAAAGGGTGTCCGAAAAAAACACTTTGTATTTGCCCCACCTAAGTTATTTAAGTTGCTGTGCTACGTAACAAAAGGTGTAACTGTAATGTCATCAGCCTATTTTTGTTAACGTTTTTCCTGAAACAGCATGAAATTAAAGAAAAATTACAACTTTCTTAACAGAGAGTTAAACAAAAAAGCCATTCAACCAAATTATGTTAGTCATGCACATGCGATGAATGATCTCCTACCCACCTGCACATCAGTAGAATTTATATCTGTGATATTTTTGAGGATATCTGCCACAATCTCCAGACCTTCCGTAGAAAGGGTTTCAGTCATGGACGTTATTTCTGCCACTTCTTCAACTATCATTTCTGCATTTTCCGCTGTGACTTCGGCCTGCCAAAATCAGAGGCAATCAGTTTCTTAACAACAATGATGATAACAAACTTTTTTGTGATATATCATTTTTATAATAAAACTTGCAATGTGCTTCTAAAGTTGACATGAAACTATGTTCAATACCTATTGAATGAAATAAAAATCTGGTTATGTTTTCTTGTATGCATCAAAAAATCTACGGCTTTTAAATCGCCAGGGATTTTGTGATGTGATCAGGGTTTCTTCTAATGAGTAATCGTTACATGGCGCCTTAAGGTGTATCGTAGACTTGAAATATGTTTCAGATCGCTAAAGGCTTGTCCTGCTCTAGCTTTGCTGGTACAACATGACTCTTGGAGCGTTGAAACAAATTACTTTGATTACTGTATCCAAAAAAAGTAGAGAACATTTAGCACATGAATTATTCAGCGGATTTAGTTCGGTCCGGTTAATCGCTACAGCTGCCCCCCCCCCCCCCCCCCACTCCGGGGTCGGAATGACCGCATGCGTGTTACCAAAATGTCCGGTAAAGGGGTTCTTTTCACGCACCAAAGTCCGGTTCGTACATACATAAAATTGACTTTACACACCGGACTTTATAGGGGTGTTTTCAAAAGGAGGGAACACGCATATGCGTACCCTGAATAACACTGAGTGTTATACTGAATGTTGGATAGTTTCATCGCTCTATAAATGGATTATTATTATATTATTATATTATTATATTATTATGAGTGGGGGGGGGGTACAGCTGTAAAACAAGAGGTGCCAATTTCATTTTCATTTCATGCGAAACTTTACCCCTTCGATGTCGGGGGATACCTGGCCGATTTTTCCTTTATACTAATAATAGTGATAGTGAAGTATTGTACAGCGCTCAAGGCTGATAAACTGCTACTCTTGGTGCCAGGCGCGGATCCAGGATATCTTAGGGAGGGGGCCCAACTTTTTTTTTTTTTGCTCCCTAAAATTTGAACATCGCGCCGGCCAAAAAATCGCTCAGTGGGGGAGGGGGGGGGGGGGGAAGAGAGCACATTTTTTTGTTTGGTCCTCGAAAATTTAAAAATTTGCACCCCCTTCCCCCCCCCCCCTTGACCGCCAGGGGGGCCCAACCCCCCAAAAAAGATAAAAATCACGTGTTTTTACATGATTTTTTTCTCAAGGGGGGGCTAGGCCCCCGCCCCCCCCCCCCCCCCCCCCCCCCCTGGATCTGCCACTGCCTGGTGCTCCATCATTACTACCCTTGCTTTATCACGGCTGCCACTACAGCGCTCGAGCATTTCAAGGAATAAATTCCTACCGGGTTTCGTTGGTGGAGTGTGCCAAATGTAGATTGATGTCTTGCCAAAGGACGTAAGTGCTACGACAGGGATTCGAACCCCCAAAACTTGTGGTTCACAGTCCAGATACTTATCTACTGGACCACAACACCTCCACCTTTTGATATTGCAGGAACGATATCGTTCTCTTTCACCTTGCTATGTTGGTTCCCTAAAAGGAATAGACCGTAACGAACCTTTATTATGATCTTGAGAAGTTCATCGGCAGTCAGGTTTTTTCCACAGTTCATCTTGGGTTCCCAAACACAAGCTCGAAGAGTATCACCAACACAAGTGGCTTTTACACGATGGTCCCCTGCGGAAACATAAAAGGTTAATTTGTATGATCCATGCTTTTGCAGATTAGGAGATCAAATCAATTACCATATTTTTAGTTCATAAGGTTATCAACTTTACACTCCTGCAGTTAAATGTTTAGAGTTATCTACTATCTGGTAGCAAATATGAACTGGTTAACCGTATCGTATTGAATAAATTCCAACGAAAAAAAATCACCACAGTTTTACTGCAATAGAGTTTTACTGCACGTAGATTTTTTTTCTCGTTCCAAAGTAGACCTATTTTTCATTTTTACGTAAGACTATTTCCAAAACTTTGACAATCGATAGAACTTTTTTATCATTAATAGACATAAAGGTAGGATAATTTTCTTGGCCAGTCTTTTACTAGCAAACAGATACAAAAACATGAACTATCCGTTGATGAAAATGACTTACGATATACGGTATAATCAGGGCATTTTGTATCGGTTGAGTTAGCTGTGCTGTAGATGACGCCACTGTCAAACATTGCCACATAGCCATAGTTTGTCACATAGGTCCCGGCTGGACAGGTCACTGTCAAGATCATCAGAATAGATGTTGATTGTAGGTGGAAAATTTATGTACTTTACAATATTTTTTGGGGTAATTTTTCTTTATTTTCTTTGTAAATAATATGCAGTTGTTATTGATATCAGTTTGGGTAATATGTCTTCTTTTGTACACGGACTTGCTGAAAAACAGCCTTGCGGCCAAATGCATAATTTTGTTAGCCAAATCGAAATAAATCAAACACATAATATTCTTTCAGCGACAATACTCTACTCAGAATAAAGGGCATTACACATACATACCCGTAGTACAGAAACGCCCTTTTGGTTATTTGTGGCTATCATAATAAATCATCTATGCTGTAGTTACCTGTAATACTTACGTCTTATTTCCATTCGTTATATAAAATTAATTTAAGAAAGTAGTAGTATTGAAAGCAATGGTGACTGGGCAGCACAAAAAGCTATAAAGGAGGTTAATACCAATGGAGCGTTTTTAGTTTTCATGTAACGAAACATTTTTAGATTCGTAGAAATCTAATATAAAGTTATATCAGATGCTAGAACATATAAGCAGCTCTACATGTGAACTCTAGCAACTACATTAAATGCTATAAAGACAGAGCAACAACCAATTTCATATAAACACAAAAGGAAAATAGCTTGAAATTACAGAAAACACATGTACATCGAACCCGATAGCAACTACTTTCGTGAAATCAACGTATGGCTATTTCAACAGCCTTTACGAAAAAAAGCCTGTCCATCAGCTTTAAAAGAAGGCGTGAAATTACAATAATGTATTACCTAACCCAACCATGAATTCTGAAGGATATACAGTAGGTTATTTAAATTGCCCTTGAGTTGACCTTTTAAGGTAGTGGCGATCAGGTTATCAGCAAACATTTACTGTAATGATAAAACTCACCTGCACTAAAGGATTGAACAGAAGCTGGGTCCAGGAAGTTAGGGTTCCCCTCAGCAAGGCTTGTAATTGTAGAACTGATGATGGACAGTTGTTCACCATCGGGTATTGAACCATTGTATACATAGATACCGAATTCTGTAATCACGCTTCCAGGTGAGAAGGAGTTCACTCCAACTGCAACGGTGGCTTCAAAATTATTCTGGAGAGGTGTCAGGATCTGAAAGCAACACAGAATATCATTTGAGTGCCAGTCACGGTCAACCTAATCTATGCAACGTGAATTAGAATATAAAGGGATTGAATTCAAATTTGTTTCCTTGTGGGAATATTTTGTATAATTTTCTTGACAGTATAGACGAATTCAATAAACAGTGTTAAGTAAGAGGTGAATAGCCCAAAAGCAGAGATGCATTTGGAACACAGTGTACAAGTAAAATGAAACGTGCTACTGTTATGTAACATGCTTTATATGTAAGGTGCTGAAATGAAACGTGCTATGTAAGGTGCACGGCTATAAAATGTTATATATATATGGCATCTGAATTAATTAATTAATGAATGGTGATTTCTTTTTAGATAAATGACACATAGATATTTATAGATGATTGAAAAACAATTCAGAATATCTATGTAAATTTAAATTTAAGCCATTTTAGACAAAATATAATGGTTTAGAATGAAAGGGAGCAGTAAATTAGTCATCAGATCAGATAATTTAATAATCATACTCACAAAATTGATTAATTCCTTTGAGAGCTGCTGAAAGTATGAGGAAGTTCTATCGGAAAGACTGCTGTTGAAAGTCTTGTTGAATGACGCCACTACTACATAGTTATCAACACCTGGAAATAACACAAAAGTCATAACGAATTTTTAAAAAAGCAATAGAAACCTTGTAATAATTTACTATTATATAAATTAGGCAACAGATTAAACTAAACATAGAGTATCACATAAACGATTGACACATGGGGCATCTAAAGAAGTGCACTGGCTTTGATATAAAAGATTAATATAGTTACATTTCCCCCTCGAATCACTTTTTTAAAGTTATGCCTAGGTCACATTTGCCGCGGCGGCCGTGCGGTCCAAAATATATACGGCCAATAACAATTATAGGACTGCCAAAGCATTCGAACGGTCACATCCGGTAGTGGTCACATATAATTTATTAGGGTAGCCGCACGCCGTGTTTTGAATTGCGGTGACAGAAGATTTGCGGCTGCCGTAGGGCCTTTGAAGTAGGATGCACAGTCGCCTTAAGTCATCCCTGCGGTGGCCATAGCTCTTTGACAATTACTAAGGGAGACGCAAGGTAGACGCAAGGCGGCTGAATGGGGACCATACGGCGACCATGCGGCCAGACTGGTGCTACCGCTTCGCCCCTGGAGTATATAAAACGCAAGGTCACCGTACGCCTAACGTACGGTCGCGGTGGAATCGCTCTATGGCATGGCTACGGCGTGTCTAATCGCAACAGCTAACCTAGAAATTAAAATAAATCCGCGTTAAAATCCCACGGCGACCTGTACGGCCTGTAAAGATAGGGATACGTCATAGGGGACCCTGAGGCCACTGCAGATTCTCTGCGGCCGCCGCAAGTATCTTTCGGGGGCCTATACAACCGCCGTATCCTAGCCGTAGAGCAAATGTGACCTAGGCATTACGATAATGCAAACAAATATTATTTCTTATTGATGTGAGGGAATAATGGTATTGTGAGTTATTGTTCATTATAATGTCCAGGCGCCTTGAAGAATAACCACAACTGGCCTCACACAGGTGTATGTTGAAGGTCATTGTTAAGGACATGACAGGACATGAAACATCCAAGCGTGAATAAACGGACATTAAACAAGTATGATAAAGATATGAGTAGGAGATAAGACTAGGAGAGTTAAAGATCGTACTAGGTTCTTTAAACATATTATGCTACCATTCGCCAACTACAAACTACAAACCAACCATTGACTGTCAACAAAGCTTGTTTTGTGGACAAAGTTTTGCCGTCCTCCCCGACAGCAGTGCAATAATAGTATCCCTGGTCCTCGGCCAGAGCTGGATTGATAACTAACGGGGACCTGTTCTCACTTCCCAAGATGGGGACGCTGTCTTTGTACCACTTGTAACTTTGCGCGTTCTGGAAGGAACAGGAGAAGGTGACCCGCTCCTCTACATCTGCCATCTGAGACAACGGGTTCGTGAAAACCGCAAGGGGTTCTGCAAATGTGATATAATCATTATATAATAAACAATACTATATTTCTTATGCATCATATTCCATGATAGGTTGATAGGATTCTAGAGAAGTATTGGTTATTTGAAAGTATCGAAAGTATTTGATATAAAGATTTTAAAAGTATTTGCATGAATCATAGAATATTCCACTATTACGGGTAGATAGGGTTCACAAGAAGTATTGTTTATTCGAAAGTATTTCATATAAATAAAGAAAACTGTATTTTGTGTGTATCATGAAATATTTCGAAATGACTTTGTAGATGTAGTTTGAGATAAATAATGTTTATTCAAAAGTATGCGGTATAAATTTATGAGGTGTGCATAGTCTTGATTCAGTGAACCATTTCGACAATTTGTCAAGACTAAATCCGGTGTCATATAAATATAAATATAAATCAAATTATGCATACACATACATGCAGGTGAAACATTCATTTACACCCACTCACTCTCACATACACCCTAACAACATTAAACACACACACACAAACATACATGTACATATGTATTTTATTGCTTGGACTATTTTGTCATCACAATAAAAGCTGAAGATGACCAGGGGCTAAAAGTTATTCTAACTAATTATAGTGATATCTGATTGCTTGCTTGAGAAAGATTCGGAAAGATTTATGATATAGCACATGATGACAGTTTAACAGTTTATATTGTGATTTTCTGGAATCATCAAAATGATTAAAGATATAACGAGATACGTGTGGACGCCTTTACCATTCGGTTGAACCATGTTAAATATACTGAAATATGTAGATATAATTATGGAACAGAATGGATATTGACATGCCATTTTTATAAAAACATGTTGCTCATTGAAGCAGCTATGATTTATCGAAATCATAGTATAATTTGGAAGCACATTACTTCTACTTTATGAAGAGCAATAAACTATTTTTATATAGATCATAGTTTTCTCACAATTCCCCTTTGCTTCGAGGTATGGTTTTTCTGGGGGGACGCACTGTATATCGAAGGCATATACATGCGCACACGCACGCACACACGTACACACACATACACACACACACTTATACGTACACACCCACACCTATCTTACCTTGCTCCCTAATCTGAGTGTTACAATTAACATCAGTGTACGATTCTGCACACGTGCAAACATACGATGCTCCATCGTCGCTAGTCGTACAAGTGCCTCCATTTAGACAAGGTGACAGGGCACAAGGTTTAGTGGCTGTGGGTGAAGTTAAACCGTGACATGTAAAGATAATTTTGAGTTACTTCAGATATGTGATCGCTTGTGAAAGATTCGGAAAAGGTTGTATAATATAGCACACGGTGACAGCACACCAGTGTAGATTGTGAGTTTCTGGAATCATCAAAATGATAAGAAATTTACAGTCTCTGTGGAGATCACATGCACTTCTTATAGAAATGGGTACGGCTCATATGGGAATACACAACACAATCTAGACTAACTTTGTCAGCTCTCCCTTGTTATCTTTCCAATAATATATAGAAGTCCGTTACAGGGGACATTTCTACTGCGAAATTGATTTAAGCTGATATACAAACAACTGAGATACTTTTACCATTTCCTATTAATTCTACAAGTCCTATTTTTGGTTTGTTTCGTTTGTTTTTCCTTATTTTTTGGTTTGGAAGTGGGGGGGGGGGGCTCAATAAAGACATATTATATGTGAATGGGAAATTACGATATAAGGCGTCAAGGTGCATATTTGAATATTGATACCACCTTAATCAATTTATTTTCACTATAAAAACTGACTACATTTTTTCTTCCTGAAACAGAAATATATCTTATTTGTCACTCTTGAAAGCTCATTCATGACAGTGGTCTGGTCCAAAATATTTATGGCACAACAAGTACAGTACTTTGTGTAAGTACTATACCTTCGCAAGAGGTCCCGGTGCCGGTGAATCCCTCCATACATGTGCACAAGTAGCTGCCACTTAAATCGGTGCAAAATGCGTTACTGTCACACACTTGGGGTGACCCGGCACATTCGTTGATGTTGACACAGGGGTATGGAGTCCTGTCATCCGTTACGGTTGTGTATCCAGCGTTACACACACAGTCGTAGCTATTGATACTCCCGGTACAGGTTGAGACCCTTGGGCAGGGTGTGAGCCTTTGACACATGTCAATGACTGGACGTGTAAAGAGAGATATGACACACAATAATGCTAATCTTAATGCTAATTTAGCTTACGGATGTAATGTAGAATTTTACCGAGGTTAGCCTCATTATTGTTGTAACAGTGCCCTCATTCGACCTGGGTCGAGAGGGACAAATGTGTTAAAACGCTAGTCTGCAAACTGACACTAATTTGACACTAAAACACGATTCAATGAAGCCTCGACCAGAACCTAGCTCTGTCAATCTCTGGCTGTGTCAGGTAAGGTTAACTATTAAAATTATAGGAATAACTTGTATGATTCACATATGTTCAGCGTCTCGATCTAACAAGTCAACACATTGTAATCATTTCGCTGAAAAGACTATTGTGTAACACATTGGGTGCTTTCATATACGAAACGACCATCTTGAGAATATACGAAGTCCATATAACTATACTCTGTTCCCTGAAGATTTCCGACACATAGTTCAAGCAAAAGCATAGAGATGTTTGCAGCAGCTCGTCTTATCTATCGTATTAGGAAACATGAATCTTTGTCTCTTTTTTTAAGAGACTTACACTGGCTACCCATTCACTCTCGCATTTTATTCAAATATTGTTGTTAGCTTATGAATGTTGTTATGATTTTGCGCCTCCTTATTTGATAGAGCTATTAATATTGTACAAACCTTCTAGAAATCTTCGTTCTAATAAGAAAAAATTATTTGTTATTCCACCAGTGATGACCAGGTCATATGGTGAGCGCAGCTTTGCTCACACTGCCTCAACTTTATGGAACAATCTCCCGGAACATGTAAAAAAAACATTGACTCCATTGTTAAGTTTAAGATTGCTTTAAAGACGCACTTATTTAACATTTAATTCATCCATTTTGTCTGTTACCCAGTACATCTTGTATTTGTATTTTGTTGTGTTTTTCTCTAGAGCGCTTAGGGACATGTTTTAATACTATTTGTTATGCGCTATACAAGAACGGTTAATTATTAGTATTATTATTATTATTATTATTATTATTATAATTTAATACTTTCCATATTCTTATTAAAAATGAAATTATCTACAAACATATACATTGCACACGGGATTTTTATTTTAACATGTAGAACTATCACACTCAGTCCTGGACTTTGTTACAAGAACTGAAATATGTTTAAAGTTATTCGTGTGAATTTTCTAATAATAATTGTCAGATTGACATGCCTTCACAAGTTGGTAGATCAGCGGACAACGCCCCACTAGCCTGACACATGACAGACGAGTTACCGATGAGGTCATATCCGGGCTGACATTCATACATGCACGATGTGTTGTAGTCTCTCCTCATCTCTGTACCGCATTGTGTGTTGTCAGTGGTGAGGTTTGCCGGAAAAGATGGGATGCTACACGTGACAACTGCCAAGACAATTAAGATAGGAAATAACAATGGTAATGCGTTCACATTGCCCGGCTACAATACATAGGAAACGATTGCAAAGTCTTTTCAGAAATCAACCCAAGGACAATTCCTATTCCCGCTTGTATTCGTGTAGAAATTATGTTTGAATTGCATAACATTGAAATGTGATATATGTTTAAACACTTGACTGTAGATGCGAAGGTTGTGGGTTCTATCCCCGTAAAGGTACTCATGTCATTACACAAGATATTTCATATGTATTGCTCCTCGCAATCCATGTGTTTGCAGACCCCGAAGACACTTCACGTGAACAGACTTCTGGTAGTGGACAGACTACGACTGAAAAGAAGAAGCAGAACAATAAATTTCATGTTCATGAAACTCACATACTGCATGATAATTCACTTAGAGCATCACACCACAGAATGATTACTTGTATTACTTAATAGATCTACATTGTAAAATCTAACATTGAAAATGAATGGTCTTACTTTGACATCTTAGAATGTCATCAGAGAAGGTTCCGTTGGCTAGGCAGGCAAGAGATGACATCCCACCAATAAGGTCGTAGCCAATGTTGCAGGAAAATGCACATTTTGCATTGTATGCCACATTCTGTCCCTCCTTGCATGAAGATGAAAGGTAAGGTGGCAGCTGTGGTACGTTACAGGTCACAACTGTAAATAAATGTTCATAACAATAATGGCAGGTAAACTAATTGGTGAAATAATGCATGTTTAAATTTTATTGAATGGAGCGAAAGATCATTTAGAAAATATGATTGTGCACATAAATTGTACAGAATCGGTTGTTTGGAGAGAGATCATTCGAAGAACCTGATACGGGTTTTATTCTTGAAAAAAAAACAGTTATATTCGTTACAATAGACAAGCCCCACGTAATCTGTGTTATACACATTAGTCTTCTTTTAAATATATATTATATCGCTAAATTGTATATATTAGGGGCATTAGACAAGTAGTTGTGTTACTATGAAAGCATTCTCTTTTTAAATAAGGGCTAACAAACCGACCTCAGCAAATGTCTTTTTACCACGGATCCTTCAAATGCCTCTTAAAATCTGTCATAGATAAAATCATATAGAACTTAAAGTCGTCAACAAAAATTTCCCCTTTTTGAAAAATTGATAGAATATTTTTACCTTCACATAAAGGGAGAAAATCAGAGAGAGACGTGTTTGCCAGACACATTACTGATGCAGATCCAACAAGATTATATCCTTCATCACATGAGTATGAACAGCTTTCTGTGTAAGAGATGGATAGTCCTGCATCGCATTGTGACGCCATAGGAGATAGACGTGGTTGAAGCTCGGGTATGGAACATGATACAGCTGTTAACAAAAGGAAAATGTATGATGTGTTTTAAAATAAACAGGCAGGTTTTAAACCATGACTTGGGAAGCGTTTTGATTACAGCATTTTCCTTTCTTAGGGTTTAACATGAAGCATATGAAATGAAGTATATTAATGGCATGAGAAATTGATTATGTGTAAAAATTGAAACATTTTACCACGCAAAACTCCAACATTAAAAATGAGGGTGAGATGAGCAGTTCCAAAGTTGTCAAGAGATAAAGGTTTTTCGGGAACATTGAAAATATTTTAGATCTCAACAAAACATGACAATGAATAAATCTTTCTACTACCCAGCGTCATAACTAATCCAAAAGAAAAAACATCAACAGACTTACCCGCACAGGTAGGAAAAGGTGCTGATAGTTCTCCATCACTCTGACAGGTGACATCCTCTCCACCGATCACAGTATATCCTATGGAGCACTCAAAGATACAGGTTGTTTCGAAGTCAATAGAGCTCCCTGCATCACAGTTTCCAGATAGAGAAGAGAGTTCTGCCGAGAATACCTCAGGAAGTGGACAAGTCACAACTATTAGAAAGAAGCATGAAAATTGGAGAAAAAGTGAGGAAACAAAAACACATTGAAATATTTAAGATTATAACCTTAAATATTCGACATTAAATTTGAGCCAAGACCAACTAAGCAGTTAATGATATTTACATCGTCTCCTGATAGACATATGGCCGCTAAGGTAAAACTTTACACATTGACTTTTTCCTGGGATTTGTGAGACTATAGAGCCAGGTGTCGTAGTCGAATGGTTTAAACACTTGACTGTAGATGCGGAGGTCATGGGTTCTATCTCCATCACAGTACTTATGTCCTTACGCAAGATGTTTATTCTGCATTGCTTCTCTTCGTCCATGTGGTTTCAGCCCCGGAGACAGTTCACGAGAAAAGACTTCTGGTAGCAGACAGACCACAACTAACAAAAAGACGCAGAACAGTACAGTTCATGCGCGTGAAAACTCACATGTTGCATGAGAACTCGCTCTTAGCATCACACCACAGAATGATTTACATGAATCACATAATCAATTTAACATCGTTATATCTTATATTGACAAATTAATAGTCGTACTTTGACATGTAGAATATCATCAGAGAAGGTTCCGTTGGCTAGGCAGGCTAGAGATGACATCCCAATAAGGTTTCTATATCCCCTCCGACTTCGTCTGCGAGGGGCTAATTACTTAGTAGTATGATTATCAAAATGTAATTGATTAAACTATTTTTTTCTGCAAAACATTGTTTCGTTTGTTTATTTGTTTTACCTGACCGGTAAGAAATCACGTGTATGCTTCTAAATGCTTGTTAAGTTAGTAAGCAGTCTACGGAAACCTACAGCCTTAATTCCTCTCAAGGGACTTGGTAACGAGGACGAATGCCTTACCAAAGGGCAGAAGCGCATCGACTTGGTTTCGAACCCGAGACTTACCGGTTACGAGACCACTGTACTGGTCTTCCACTGGGCCATCAAACCTCATCAAATACGTCTTCAAAATTAATAAACCCACCTTCGCACGAAGGGAGAGGAGCTGACAAAGTAGTGTCCTCCAGACAGGTCACAGACGATTCGCCAGTTAGATTGTATCCAACATCACAAACGAAATGACAGGTCGTATTGTAAGTCACACTCCCAAGGCACAATACATTGGATGTTAAGAGATTGGATGGTAGCTGGGGAACTTCACAAGCTACGACTGTAAAAAAGCAAGATATTAGCACAATCGCAAAGCATTTCTAAAAAATCGACTTAAAGGGATCGTTTATAAATCTTAAATCTGGGATACACGGCCATACGTGTTATGATGTCACCCCTGATTTTACCCATCGGCACGCCTCGCCTCAGGATGCGACATCCCATAGAGCCTATAAACAACTATTCCTCTCACAGCAGTCATAATATCTATACTATAACATAATAACTTTACATTGTAAAAACTTATGTAAGAATAACAGTAAAGATAAATCAATCTTCTTACTTTCACATGTTGGAACGTCATCAGAGAACGTTCCGTTGGCTAGGCAGGCTAGAGATGACATCCCAATAAGGTCGTAGCCAAGGTTGCAGGAAAAATCGCATGTTGTATTGTATGCAACATTCTGTCCCTCCGTGCATGAAGATTGGAGGTTGGGTGGCAGCTGTGGTACGTTACAGGTCTCAACTGCACATAAATGTTGATAACAATAGTGGCAGGTAAACTAATTGGTGAAAAAATACATGTTTAAATGTTACTGAACGAAGCGACAGATCATTTAAAAAGCATGATTTTGCACATTAATTGTACAGAATCGGTTGTTTGGAGAGAGATCATTCGAAGAACCTGAAACAGGTTTTATTCTCGAAAATAAGACAGTCATATTCGTTACAATAGACAAGCCCCACCTAATCTGTATTATACACATTAGTCTTCCTTTAAAATATATATTATATCGCTAACTTGTATATTTTAGGGGCATTAGAAAAGTTGTTGTGTTACTGTGAAAGCATCCTCTTTTCATATAAAAGCTAACAAGTGACTTTTGACGTTGAATCTTCAAATGTTTCCAACAATCAGTCATTGAAAAAAATAATATACAAATTGAAATCGTCAACAAAAATCTACCCTCATTTGAAAAATTCATGGAAAGTGAGAGAGAGAGAGAGAGAGAGAGAGGGAGAGATACGTGTTTGCCAGACATTGGTACACAAGGAGATCCTACAACATTGTATCCCACATCACAGACAATATGATACTTTCAACCAAGTCATTGTGCTCATTCATTTGAAAACTACTTTTTCAGCTGTCGTAGTGTCTAAGAGGATAATCTAAGATCAGGAAAATATCGACGGGAAAATCTTTGGATCTCTAGATAAGTTATCCAATCACCAACTAAATATTTTAGGGAAAAAAAATTGTACAAAATGTCAACTCCTTTAAAAATATGATTTAAAAAATTTTACCTTCACATTGAGGCAGAAAATCAGAGAGAGACGTGTTTGCCAGACACCTTACTGATGCAGATCCAACAAGATTATATCCTACATCACATGAGTATAAACAGCTTTCTGTGTAATTGATGGATAGTCCTGCATCGCATTGTGACGCCATAGGAGATAGACGTGGTGGAAGCTCGGGTACGGAACAGGATACAACTGATTACAAAAGGAAAATGTATGTTGTGTTTTAAAATAAACAGGCAGGTTTTAAACCATGACTTGGGAAGTGTTTTGATTTCAGCTTTTCTTTTCTTGGGGTTTGACATGAAGCATCTGAAATGAAGTGCATGAATGGCATAATAAATTGACTACCGGGTATGTGTAAATATTGACACATTTTACCGTAAAAAACTCCGAAGTTAAAACTAAGACTGAGATGAAAAGTTCCCAATTTGTCAAGAGAATAAAGGTTTTTCGCGATTAAATCCATTCATACTCATTCAAAGATATGGCATTTAATTGGAACCGAGTATCAATACAAGAAAACCATAGTTATTGCCAATTTGAAGAATGAAAGTTAATCAACTTATGCTTTAAAGAACAAAAATCTGTCTCTTAGCATCACCCCACAGAATGATTTACATGAATCACATAATCAATTTAACATCGTTATATCTTATATTGACAGATTAATAGTCGTACTTTGACATGTTGGAATATCATTAGAGAAGGTTCCGTTGGCTAGGCAGGCTAGAGATGACATCCCAATAAGGTCGTAGCCAATGTTGCAGGAAAAATCACATGTTTTATTGTATGCCACATTCTGTCCCTCCATGCATAAAGATGAAAGGTTGAATGGCAGCTGAGAAACGTTGCAGGTCTCAACTAGACATTAAAGTTGATATCATAATGGCATGTAAAAGGATAAATAAAAAACATGTGTTCATATGTAGTGAATGAAGCGAAAAATTGAATGATTGACAGTTATTTTCATTATTATAAACAAGCTACATCTACTTTCTATTAAATACCTTAAAATTCCTTTAAATAAAATTGTGAATTATCGCGTTAGACAGATTGTTGTGTTACTGTGATAGCATTCTCTTTTGTATAAGGACTAACAAGCCGACCTCAGCAAATGACTTTTTACCACGGATCCTTCAAATGCCTCTTAAAATCTGTCATAGATAAAATCATATATAACTTGAAGTCGTCAACAAAAATCTACCCTTTTTTGAAAAATTGATAGAAAGTTTTTACCTTCACATGAAGGCAAAAAATCAGAGAGAGACGTGTTTGCCAGACATGTTACTGATGCAGATCCAACACGATTATATCCTACATCACATGAGTATGAACAGCTTTCTGTGTAATTGATGGATAGTCCTGCATCGCATTGTGACGCCACAGGAGATAGACGTGGTGGAAGCTCGGGTATGGAACAGGATACAACTGATTACAAAAGGAAAATGTATGATGTGTTATAAAATAAACAGGCAGGTTTTAAACCATGACTTGGGAAGTGTTTTGATTTAATCATTTTCCTTTCTTAGGGTTTAACATAAAGCATATGAAATGAAGAACATTAATGGCATGAGAAATTGATTATGTGTAAAAATTGAAACATTTTACCACGCAAAACTCCAACATTAAAAATGAGGGTGAGATGATCAGTTCCAAAGTTGTCAAGAGAATAAAGGTTTTTCGGGAACATTGAAGGACTATTTAAAACATATTGTGATGATTCAATAACGATTTCTTTATTGGAAAAGTGAAGGTCATAGAATTTGTGTGAATTAAAAAATATTTTAGATCTCAACAAAACATGACAATGAATAAATCTTTCTACTACCCAGCGTCATAACTAATCCAAGAGAAAAACATCAACAGACTTACCCGCACAGGTAGGAAAAGGTGCTGATAGTTCTCCATCACTCTGACAGGTGACATCCTCTCCACCGATCACAGTATATCCTATGGAGCACTCAAAGATACAGGTTGTTTCGAAGTCAATAGAGCTCCCTGCATCACAGTTTCCAGATAGAGAAGAGAGTTCTGCCGAGAATACCTCAGGAAGCGGACAAGTCACAACTATTAGAAAGAGGCATGAAAATTGGAGAAAAAGTGAGGAAACAAAAACAAATGGAAATATTTAAGATTATAACCTTAAATATTCGACATTAAATTTGAGCCAAGAACAACTAAGCAGTTAATGATATTTACATCGTCTCCTGATAGACATATGGCCGCTAAGGTAAAACTTTACACATTGACTTTTTCCTGGGATTTGTGAGACTATAGAGCCAGGTGTCGTAGTCGAATGGTTTAAACACTTGACTGTAGATGCGGAAGTCATGGGTTCTATCTCCATCACAGTACTTATGTCCTTACGCAAGATGTTTATTCTGCATTGCTTCTCTTCGTCCATGTGGTTTCAGCCCCGGAGACAGTTCACGAGAAAAGACTTCTGGTAGCAGACAGACCACAACTAACAAAAAGACGCAGAACAGTACAGTTCATGCGCGTGAAAACTCACATGTTGCATGAGAACTCGCTCTTAGCATCACCCCACAGAATGATTTACATGAATCACATAATCAATTTAACATCGTTATATCTTATATTGACAGATTAATAGTCGTACTTTGACATGTTAGAATATATCATCAGAGAAGGTTCCGTTGGCTAGGCAGGCTAGAGATGACATCCCAATAAGGTTTCTATATCTACTCCGACTTCGTCTGCGAGGGGCTAATTACTTAGTAGTATGATTATCAAAATGTAATTGAATAAACTCTTTTTTCTGCAAAACATTGTTTCGTTTGTTTATTTGTTTTACCTGACCGGTAAGAAATCACGTGTATGCTTCTAAATGCTTGTTAAGTTAGTAAGCAGCCTACGGAAACCTACGGCCTTAATTCCTCTCAAGGGACTTGGTAACGAGGACGAATGCCTTACCAAAGGGCAGAAGCGCATCGACTTGGTTTCGAACCCGAGACTTACCGGTTACGAGACCACTGTACTGGTCTTCCACTGGGCCATCAAACCTCATCAAATACGTCTTCAAAATTAATAAACCCACCTTCGCACGAAGGGAGAGGAGCTGACAAAGTAGTGTCCTCCAGACAGGTCACGGACGATTCGCCAGTTAGATTGTATCCAACATCACAAACGAAATGACAGGTCGTATTGTAAGTCACACTTCCAAGGCACAATACATTGGATGTTAAGAGATTGGATGGTAGCTGGGGAACTTCACAAGCTACGACTGTAAAAAAGCAAGATATTAGCACAATCGCAAAGCATTTCTAAAAAAATCGACTTAAAGGGATCGTTTATAAATCTTAAATCTGGGATACACGGCCCTACGTGTTATGATGTCACCCCTGATTTCACCCATCGGCACGCCTCGCCTCAGGATGCGTCATCCCATACAGCCTATAAACAACTATTCCTCTCACAGCAGTCATAATATCTATACTATAACATAATAACTTTACATTGTAAAAACTTATGTAAGAATAACAGTAAAGATAAATCAATCTTCTTACTTTCACATGTTGGAACGTCATCAGAGAACGTTCCGTTGGCTAGGCAGGCTAGAGATGACATCCCAATAAGGTCGTAGCCAAGGTTGCAGGAAAAATCGCATGTTGTATTGTATGCAACATTCTGTCCCTCCGTGCATGAAGATTGGAGGTTGGGTGGCAGCTGTGGTACGTTACAGGTCTCAACTGCACATAAATGTTGATAACAATAGTGGCAGGTAAACTAATTGGTGAAAAAATACATGTTTAAATGTTACTGAACGAAGCGACAGATCATTTAAAAAGCATGATTTTGCACATTAATTGTACAGAATCGGTTGTTTGGAGAGAGATCATTCGAAGAACCTGAAACAGGTTTTATTCTCGAAAATAAGACAGTCATATTCGTTACAATAGACAAGCCCCACCTAATCTGTATTATACACATTAGTCTTCCTTTAAAATATATATTATATCGCTAACTTGTATATTTTAGGGGCATTAGAAAAGTTGTTGTGTTACTGTGAAAGCATCCTCTTTTCATATAAAAGCTAACAAGTGACTTTTGACGTTGAATCTTCAAATGTTTCCAACAATCAGTCATTGAAAAAAATAATATACAAATTGAAATCGTCAACAAAAATCTACCCTCATTTGAAAAATTCATGGAAAGTGAGAGAGAGAGAGAGAGAGAGAGAGGGAGAGATACGTGTTTGCCAGACATTGGTACACAAGGAGATCCTACAACATTGTATCCCACATCACAGACAATATGATACTTTCAACCAAGTCATTGTGCTCATTCATTTGAAAACTACTTTTTCAGCTGTCGTAGTGTCTAAGAGGATAATCTAAGATCAGGAAAATATCGACGGGAAAATCTTTGGATCTCTAGATAAGTTATCCAATCACCAACTAAATATTTTAGGGAAAAAAAATTGTACAAAATGTCAACTCCTTTAAAAATATGATTTAAAAAATTTTACCTTCACATTGAGGCAGAAAATCAGAGAGAGACGTGTTTGCCAGACACCTTACTGATGCAGATCCAACAAGATTATATCCTACATCACATGAGTATAAACAGCTTTCTGTGTAATTGATGGATAGTCCTGCATCGCATTGTGACGCCATAGGAGATAGACGTGGTGGAAGCTCGGGTACGGAACAGGATACAACTGATTACAAAAGGAAAATGTATGTTGTGTTTTAAAATAAACAGGCAGGTTTTAAACCATGACTTGGGAAGTGTTTTGATTTCAGCTTTTCTTTTCTTGGGGTTTGACATGAAGCATCTGAAATGAAGTGCATGAATGGCATAATAAATTGACTACCGGGTATGTGTAAATATTGACACATTTTACCGTAAAAAACTCCGAAGCTAAAACTAAGACTGAGATGAAAAGTTCCCAATTTGTCAAGAGAATAAAGGTTTTTCGCGATTAAATCCATTCATACTCATTCAAAGATATGGCATTTAATTGGAACCGAGTATCAATACAAGAAAACCATAGTTATTGCCAATTTGAAGAATGAAAGTTAATCAACTTATGCTTTAAAGAACAAAAATCTGTCTCTTAGCATCACCCCACAGAATGATTTACATGAATCACATAATCAATTTAACATCGTTATATCTTATATTGACAGATTAATAGTCGTACTTTGACATGTTGGAATATCATTAGAGAAGGTTCCGTTGGCTAGGCAGGCTAGAGATGACATCCCAATAAGGTCGTAGCCAATGTTGCAGGAAAAATCACATGTTTTATTGTATGCCACATTCTGTCCCTCCATGCATAAAGATGAAAGGTTGAATGGCAGCTGAGAAACGTTGCAGGTCTCAACTAGACATTAAAGTTGATATCATAATGGCATGTAAAAGGATAAATAAAAAACATGTGTTCATATGTAGTGTTTGTCCAGTACCTCTTTATTCCTGCTGGGATGAATAGGAACATAGACAAAGGATGTTTGTCGACTTTGAAATACAGCACAAGAGAACTTTTTGATATCAAGAAGGCAATTAAGACCACTCCATTGAATCGGATTGATGACAGTCTATGGGAAGAACTCTGTGACTTAAACATAGCTAAGAGGCGTACAAGCAGAGCTGGTAGGAAGGTTGCAAGAAAGGCATTGTCTGCTCCACCAAGATCCATTTCTTCTCATGTATCCTGTAATACGCGATCTCTTCGTTTCGTCAGCAAAAGAGATAACATAGATGATGCCCTCATCAGAATTGAATTGCCTAGAAATCGTTGTGAATCTCAGCCCACACGTTTCGCACTCTGGAATGCGAGATCGATCAAGGCCAAAGGGAAAGCCACGACTGTTTGTGACTATGTCATACAAGATCGCATTGATGTGTTAGCCCTTACTGAGACCTGGCTAACAAACACAGACAGAGATCACCATGCCATTGCAACCATCCGCAAGACATTGGTGAATTATGACTTTCATCACATCCCACGGGCAACATCCACAGGTGGAGGAGTTGGTGTGATCCTGCATAAAGCTTTCGATGTCGTGTTCCATGACAGGCATGCCTTCTCTTCGTTTGAATACAGTGACCTTACCATCCACTCGTCGACAAAGCATCTCCGCCTAGTCACTGTATACAGACCTCCAACATCGAAGAAAAATAAACACTCGATCGCAGATTTTTGTCAAGAATTCTCTTCCTTCATTGAGATTCTCCAGGCGTCAAACAAGCCTCTACTACTTGTAGGAGACTTTAACATCCACGTCGACAACGAAGCTGATGCTAATTCTAGAGCATTCCTTGAGCTCCTTGATGGGGTTAGTTTCAGTAATCATGTTTGCTGTCCTACACATAAGGCTAAGCACACACTTGACCTGATCATCACCAGGGGAGAGAACCAGTTGGTTTCCAATGTTACAACCAGTCAGTCACTGCCATCTGACCATTCTGTTGTTACATGCGACCTCAAATTATCACGTCCTGCGCATATTCAGAAGAAATTTAAGTCCCGATCCCTCAAGACCATCGACCTGAGTTCATTCGCAGCTGATCTAGCATCATCAAGTGTCATCACCAACCCCCCAGATGATCCAGAACAGCTAGCGAACTTATTAGACAGTGAACTTCGAAACATTCTAGATTTACATGCTCCAGAACTTGAGAAGAATGTTATTCTACGTCCACACGCCCCCTGGTACAACCAACATCTTAGAAAGGCGAAACAAGAACGTAGACGCTGCGAGAGGAGAGCAACAAAGCCAACAAGCTTGCAAATCGACAAAGAGATCTACCAGAAACATTGCAAGCTCTACAATGATCTACTTTATGAAACCAAGGAATTGTATTTTCAGAACAAGATACAGGATGCAGATCAGAAGCAGCTTTTCCGCATAATGAATGATCTGACTTCTCCTACTGCAGGTTCCTGTTTACCACAGCACACAAGTCCATCTGAGCTCGCTCAAGATTTTAGTGACTTCTTCACAACCAAGATTAGACGTCTTCGCGACAACCTTGATCAGCAAATCTATGAAGACATCTCGGCTGATATTTCTTCATCAACCCATCATCACTTCATGAATTTTGACGAAGTCTCACAGGACGAGGTTTTGTCAATCATTAAGACCTCATCTTCAGCATCCTGTGCCTTGGACCCCTTGCCCACCATCCTCCTGAAGCGTTGCACATCTATTCTTGCTCCTCTCATCACAAAGTTCGTCAACCTGAGTTTCCAGACGGGCATATTTCCCACAGCCTTGAAACACGCTATAGTGTTTCCAAAACTTAAGAAATCGAATCTACCAGTCAACGAACTCAAGAATTTCAGACCAATCTCAAACATCCCCTACATGTCGAAGGTAGTAGAAAGGGCTGTCATGGGGCAATTTCTAGAGTACCTTGAAGAAAATGCCTTACTTCCTAAAACACAGTCAGCTTACCGAAAGCACCATAGTGTAGAAACAGCTCTTCTACGCGTAGAAAATGACTGCTTAGAGGCCTTAGACACCCATAAAGAAGTGATCCTCGTACTCCTAGATTTTACGGCCGCGTTCGACACTATAGACCATCCAATACTCCTGGAGAGACTTTCTGAGAATTTTGGAGTTTCAGGAAATGCAATGAAATGGTTCCACTCTTACCTTGCAGGAAGGAATCATGTGGTAAGAGTGAGCCTTGCTTCTTCAGGACCAGTAGAGGACACATGCGGCGTACCCCAAGGTTCGGTACTTGGACCGCTGCTGTTTACCCTGTACACTGCCCCAATCCATGACATCATATCTGATCATGGAATTCAGTCAATGTTATATGCTGACGACACTCAGATCTACCTGTCTTTCGACCCATCAGAGAGAGCATCTGCCGTTCTTCGAGTGAACAGATGCATAGCTGACATCCGCTCCTGGGCAGGCTTAAACAAGTTAAAAATTAATGACGGCAAAACGGAAGTTCTTCACTTTTCCTCCAGATTCCTCCCAAGAACACCCTCTGTTACGGTAACAGTCGGTGAGTCAGTTATTGAAGCCAAGGCCGAGGCTAGGAACTTGGGAATCATATTCGATGAGCACGCCACTAGGAAATCTCATGTCGCAGGGGTGTGTCGCTCTGCCATGTCATCCATCAGAAAGATAGGTCAAATTCGTAGGGTTTTAGACCGGAAGACAACTCTCACCCTCATTCATGCCTTCGTCACCTCCAAACTTGACACATGCAATGCACTTCTTCCTAATCTTCCTGCCAACGAACTGATGAAGCTTCAAAGAATTCAAAACATCGCAGCCAGAATCACAGAGGAAGCAACTGGTCTCACTTCTACCACATCCCTTCTCCGTAACCTCCACTGGCTCCCAATCAACAAGCGGATTCACTTTAAGATCCTACTTCTCACCTACAAGTCTCTCTCTAACTCTACCCCTTCTTATCTGTCTGAACTCATTCACACCTACACACCCTCCCGTGCTCTCAGATCCCAGAACAAACATCTTCTCCAGATTCCTCGTTTTAAGACCCAGTACTACGGCCGTAGCTCCTTCACCTTCAATGCTCCCACCCTCTGGAACTCTCTCCCGCTCGCCATTCGAACTGCACCTTCCATCCAGACCTTCAAGACTGCACTTAAGACCTACCTTTTTAAGAATTAATTATTAATCTATAATTTGAATTGAAATTGTATATGCCTACAACTTGTAATATATAAATAAAATCTTGAACCATAATTGTTGTATCATTATTTAAGAATGAATTATAATGTTTATCTATCTAGTTACTGTTATACTATTTTAGTTAAGATCTTGTCAGAATTTTTGTTTGAGGATAGTTCAATAGTAGTAATAATATGTAATAAATTAAGCTTGTAATACAATGTAAAGCGCATAGAGACATACCTTGTATAATGCGCTATAGAAATATAATTTATTATTATTATTATTATTATAGTGAATGAAGCGAAAAATTGAAGGATTGACAGTTATTTTCATTATTATAAACAAGCTACATCTACTTTCTATTAAAAACCTTAAAATTCCTTTAAATAAAATTGTGAATTATCGCGTTAGACAGATTGTTGTGTTACTGTGATAGCATTCTCTTTTGTATAAGGACTAACAAGCCGACCTCAGCAAATGACTTTTTACCACGGATCCTTCAAATGCCTCTTAAAATCTGTCATAGATAAAATCATATATAACTTGAAGTCGTCAACAAAAATCTACCCTTTTTTGAAAAATTGATAGAAAGTTTTTACCTTCACATGAAGGCAAAAAATCAGAGAGAGACGTGTTTGCCAGACATGTTACTGATGCAGATCCAACACGATTATATCCTACATCACATGAGTATGAACAGCTTTCTGTGTAATTGATGGATAGTCCTGCATCGCATTGTGACGCCACAGGAGATAGACGTGGTGGAAGCTCGGGTATGGAACAGGATACAACTGATTACATAAGGAAAATGTATGATGTGTTATAAAATAAACAGTCAGGTTTTAAACCATGACTTGGGAAGTGTTTTGATTTAATCATTTTCCTTTCTTAGGGTTTAACATAAAGCATATGAAATGAAGTACATTAATGGCATGAGAAATTGATTATGTGTAAAAATTGAAACATTTTACCACGCAAAACTCCAACATTAAAAATGAGGGTGAGATGATCAGTTCCAAAGTTGTCAAGAGAATAAAGGTTTTTCGGGAACATTGAAGGACTATTAAAAACATATTGTGATGATTCAATAACGATTTCTTTATTGGAAAAGTGAAGGTCATAGAATTTGTGTGAATTAAAAAATATTTTAGATCTCAACAAAACATGACAATGAATAAATCTTTCTACTACCCAGCGTCATAACTAATCCAAGAGAAAAACATCAACAGACTTACCCGCACAGGTAGGAAAAGGTGCTGATAGTTCTCCATCACTCTGACAGGTGACATCCTCTCCACTGATCACAGTATATCCTATGGAGCACTCAAAGATACAGGTTGTTTCGAAGTCAATAGAGCTCCCTGCATCACAGTTTCCAGATAGAGAAGAGAGTTCTGCCGAGAATACCTCAGGAAGCGGACAAGTCACAACTATTAGAAAGAGGCATGAAAATTGGAGAAAAAGTGAGGAAACAAAAACAAATGGAAATATTTAAGATTATAACCTTAAATATTCGACATTAAATTTGAGCCAAGAACAACTAAGCAGTTAATGATATTTACATCGTCTCCTGATAGACATATGGCCGCTAAGGTAAAACTTTACACATTGACTTTTTCCTGGGATTTGTGAGACTATAGAGCCAGGTGTCGTAGTCGAATGGTTTAAACACTTGACTGTAGATGCGGAAGTCATGGGTTCTATCTCCATCACAGTACTTATGTCCTTACGCAAGATGTTTATTCTGCATTGCTTCTCTTCGTCCATGTGGTTTCAGCCCCGGAGACAGTTCACGAGAAAAGACTTCTGGTAGCAGACAGACCACAACTAACAAAAAGACGCAGAACAGTACAGTTCATGCGCGTGAAAACTCACATGTTGCATGAGAACTCGCTCTTAGCATCACCCCACAGAATGATTTACATGAATCACATAATCAATTTAACATCGTTATATCTTATATTGACAGATTAATAGTCGTACTTTGACATGTTAGAATATATCATCAGAGAAGGTTCCGTTGGCTAGGCAGGCTAGAGATGACATCCCAATAAGGTTTCTATATCTACTCCGACTTCGTCTGCGAGGGGCTAATTACTTAGTAGTATGATTATCAAAATGTAATTGAATAAACTCTTTTTTCTGCAAAACATTGTTTCGTTTGTTTATTTGTTTTACCTGACCGGTAAGAAATCACGTGTATGCTTCTAAATGCTTGTTAAGTTAGTAAGCAGCCTACGGAAACCTACGGCCTTAATTCCTCTCAAGGGACTTGGTAACGAGGACGAATGCCTTACCAAAGGGCAGAAGCGCATCGACTTGGTTTCGAACCCGAGACTTACCGGTTACGAGACCACTGTACTGGTCTTCCACTGGGCCATCAAACCTCATCAAATACGTCTTCAAAATTAATAAACCCACCTTCGCACGAAGGGAGAGGAGCTGACAAAGTAGTGTCCTCCAGACAGGTCACGGACGATTCGCCAGTTAGATTGTATCCAACATCACAAACGAAATGACAGGTCGTATTGTAAGTCACACTTCCAAGGCACAATACATTGGATGTTAAGAGATTGGATGGTAGCTGGGGAACTTCACAAGCTACGACTGTAAAAAAGCAAGATATTAGCACAATCGCAAAGCATTTCTAAAAAAATCGACTTAAAGGGATCGTTTATAAATCTTAAATCTGGGATACACGGCCCTACGTGTTATGATGTCACCCCTGATTTCACCCATCGGCACGCCTCGCCTCAGGATGCGTCATCCCATACAGCCTATAAACAACTATTCCTCTCACAGCAGTCATAATATCTATACTATAACATAATAACTTTACATTGTAAAAACTTATGTAAGAATAACAGTAAAGATAAATCAATCTTCTTACTTTCACATGTTGGAACGTCATCAGAGAACGTTCCGTTGGCTAGGCAGGCTAGAGATGACATCCCAATAAGGTCGTAGCCAAGGTTGCAGGAAAAATCGCATGTTGTATTGTATGCAACATTCTGTCCCTCCGTGCATGAAGATTGGAGGTTGGGTGGCAGCTGTGGTACGTTACAGGTCTCAACTGCACATAAATGTTGATAACAATAGTGGCAGGTAAACTAATTGGTGAAAAAATACATGTTTAAATGTTACTGAACGAAGCGACAGATCATTTAAAAAGCATGATTTTGCACATTAATTGTACAGAATCGGTTGTTTGGAGAGAGATCATTCGAAGAACCTGAAACAGGTTTTATTCTCGAAAATAAGACAGTCATATTCGTTACAATAGACAAGCCCCACCTAATCTGTATTATACACATTAGTCTTCCTTTAAAATATATATTATATCGCTAACTTGTATATTTTAGGGGCATTAGAAAAGTTGTTGTGTTACTGTGAAAGCATCCTCTTTTCATATAAAAGCTAACAAGTGACTTTTGACGTTGAATCTTCAAATGTTTCCAACAATCAGTCATTGAAAAAAATAATATACAAATTGAAATCGTCAACAAAAATCTACCCTCATTTGAAAAATTCATGGAAAGTGAGAGAGAGAGAGAGAGAGAGAGAGGGAGAGATACGTGTTTGCCAGACATTGGTACACAAGGAGATCCTACAACATTGTATCCCACATCACAGACAATATGATACTTTCAACCAAGTCATTGTGCTCATTCATTTGAAAACTACTTTTTCAGCTGTCGTAGTGTCTAAGAGGATAATCTAAGATCAGGAAAATATCGACGGGAAAATCTTTGGATCTCTAGATAAGTTATCCAATCACCAACTAAATATTTTAGGGAAAAAAAATTGTACAAAATGTCAACTCCTTTAAAAATATGATTTAAAAAATTTTACCTTCACATTGAGGCAGAAAATCAGAGAGAGACGTGTTTGCCAGACACCTTACTGATGCAGATCCAACAAGATTATATCCTACATCACATGAGTATAAACAGCTTTCTGTGTAATTGATGGATAGTCCTGCATCGCATTGTGACGCCATAGGAGATAGACGTGGTGGAAGCTCGGGTACGGAACAGGATACAACTGATTACAAAAGGAAAATGTATGTTGTGTTTTAAAATAAACAGGCAGGTTTTAAACCATGACTTGGGAAGTGTTTTGATTTCAGCTTTTCTTTTCTTGGGGTTTGACATGAAGCATCTGAAATGAAGTGCATGAATGGCATAATAAATTGACTACCGGGTATGTGTAAATATTGACACATTTTACCGTAAAAAACTCCGAAGCTAAAACTAAGACTGAGATGAAAAGTTCCCAATTTGTCAAGAGAATAAAGGTTTTTCGCGATTAAATCCATTCATACTCATTCAAAGATATGGCATTTAATTGGAACCGAGTATCAATACAAGAAAACCATAGTTATTGCCAATTTGAAGAATGAAAGTTAATCAACTTATGCTTTAAAGAACAAAAATCTGTCTCTTAGCATCACCCCACAGAATGATTTACATGAATCACATAATCAATTTAACATCGTTATATCTTATATTGACAGATTAATAGTCGTACTTTGACATGTTGGAATATCATTAGAGAAGGTTCCGTTGGCTAGGCAGGCTAGAGATGACATCCCAATAAGGTCGTAGCCAATGTTGCAGGAAAAATCACATGTTTTATTGTATGCCACATTCTGTCCCTCCATGCATAAAGATGAAAGGTTGAATGGCAGCTGAGAAACGTTGCAGGTCTCAACTAGACATTAAAGTTGATATCATAATGGCATGTAAAAGGATAAATAAAAAACATGTGTTCATATGTAGTGTTTGTCCAGTACCTCTTTATTCCTGCTGGGATGAATAGGAACATAGACAAAGGATGTTTGTCGACTTTGAAATACAGCACAAGAGAACTTTTTGATATCAAGAAGGCAATTAAGACCACTCCATTGAATCGGATTGATGACAGTCTATGGGAAGAACTCTGTGACTTAAACATAGCTAAGAGGCGTACAAGCAGAGCTGGTAGGAAGGTTGCAAGAAAGGCATTGTCTGCTCCACCAAGATCCATTTCTTCTCATGTATCCTGTAATACGCGATCTCTTCGTTTCGTCAGCAAAAGAGATAACATAGATGATGCCCTCATCAGAATTGAATTGCCTAGAAATCGTTGTGAATCTCAGCCCACACGTTTCGCACTCTGGAATGCGAGATCGATCAAGGCCAAAGGGAAAGCCACGACTGTTTGTGACTATGTCATACAAGATCGCATTGATGTGTTAGCCCTTACTGAGACCTGGCTAACAAACACAGACAGAGATCACCATGCCATTGCAACCATCCGCAAGACATTGGTGAATTATGACTTTCATCACATCCCACGGGCAACATCCACAGGTGGAGGAGTTGGTGTGATCCTGCATAAAGCTTTCGATGTCGTGTTCCATGACAGGCATGCCTTCTCTTCGTTTGAATACAGTGACCTTACCATCCACTCGTCGACAAAGCATCTCCGCCTAGTCACTGTATACAGACCTCCAACATCGAAGAAAAATAAACACTCGATCGCAGATTTTTGTCAAGAATTCTCTTCCTTCATTGAGATTCTCCAGGCGTCAAACAAGCCTCTACTACTTGTAGGAGACTTTAACATCCACGTCGACAACGAAGCTGATGCTAATTCTAGAGCATTCCTTGAGCTCCTTGATGGGGTTAGTTTCAGTAATCATGTTTGCTGTCCTACACATAAGGCTAAGCACACACTTGACCTGATCATCACCAGGGGAGAGAACCAGTTGGTTTCCAATGTTACAACCAGTCAGTCACTGCCATCTGACCATTCTGTTGTTACATGCGACCTCAAATTATCACGTCCTGCGCATATTCAGAAGAAATTTAAGTCCCGATCCCTCAAGACCATCGACCTGAGTTCATTCGCAGCTGATCTAGCATCATCAAGTGTCATCACCAACCCCCCAGATGATCCAGAACAGCTAGCGAACTTATTAGACAGTGAACTTCGAAACATTCTAGATTTACATGCTCCAGAACTTGAGAAGAATGTTATTCTACGTCCACACGCCCCCTGGTACAACCAACATCTTAGAAAGGCGAAACAAGAACGTAGACGCTGCGAGAGGAGAGCAACAAAGCCAACAAGCTTGCAAATCGACAAAGAGATCTACCAGAAACATTGCAAGCTCTACAATGATCTACTTTATGAAACCAAGGAATTGTATTTTCAGAACAAGATACAGGATGCAGATCAGAAGCAGCTTTTCCGCATAATGAATGATCTGACTTCTCCTACTGCAGGTTCCTGTTTACCACAGCACACAAGTCCATCTGAGCTCGCTCAAGATTTTAGTGACTTCTTCACAACCAAGATTAGACGTCTTCGCGACAACCTTGATCAGCAAATCTATGAAGACATCTCGGCTGATATTTCTTCATCAACCCATCATCACTTCATGAATTTTGACGAAGTCTCACAGGACGAGGTTTTGTCAATCATTAAGACCTCATCTTCAGCATCCTGTGCCTTGGACCCCTTGCCCACCATCCTCCTGAAGCGTTGCACATCTATTCTTGCTCCTCTCATCACAAAGTTCGTCAACCTGAGTTTCCAGACGGGCATATTTCCCACAGCCTTGAAACACGCTATAGTGTTTCCAAAACTTAAGAAATCGAATCTACCAGTCAACGAACTCAAGAATTTCAGACCAATCTCAAACATCCCCTACATGTCGAAGGTAGTAGAAAGGGCTGTCATGGGGCAATTTCTAGAGTACCTTGAAGAAAATGCCTTACTTCCTAAAACACAGTCAGCTTACCGAAAGCACCATAGTGTAGAAACAGCTCTTCTACGCGTAGAAAATGACTGCTTAGAGGCCTTAGACACCCATAAAGAAGTGATCCTCGTACTCCTAGATTTTACGGCCGCGTTCGACACTATAGACCATCCAATACTCCTGGAGAGACTTTCTGAGAATTTTGGAGTTTCAGGAAATGCAATGAAATGGTTCCACTCTTACCTTGCAGGAAGGAATCATGTGGTAAGAGTGAGCCTTGCTTCTTCAGGACCAGTAGAGGACACATGCGGCGTACCCCAAGGTTCGGTACTTGGACCGCTGCTGTTTACCCTGTACACTGCCCCAATCCATGACATCATATCTGATCATGGAATTCAGTCAATGTTATATGCTGACGACACTCAGATCTACCTGTCTTTCGACCCATCAGAGAGAGCATCTGCCGTTCTTCGAGTGAACAGATGCATAGCTGACATCCGCTCCTGGGCAGGCTTAAACAAGTTAAAAATTAATGACGGCAAAACGGAAGTTCTTCACTTTTCCTCCAGATTCCTCCCAAGAACACCCTCTGTTACGGTAACAGTCGGTGAGTCAGTTATTGAAGCCAAGGCCGAGGCTAGGAACTTGGGAATCATATTCGATGAGCACGCCACTAGGAAATCTCATGTCGCAGGGGTGTGTCGCTCTGCCATGTCATCCATCAGAAAGATAGGTCAAATTCGTAGGGTTTTAGACCGGAAGACAACTCTCACCCTCATTCATGCCTTCGTCACCTCCAAACTTGACACATGCAATGCACTTCTTCCTAATCTTCCTGCCAACGAACTGATGAAGCTTCAAAGAATTCAAAACATCGCAGCCAGAATCACAGAGGAAGCAACTGGTCTCACTTCTACCACATCCCTTCTCCGTAACCTCCACTGGCTCCCAATCAACAAGCGGATTCACTTTAAGATCCTACTTCTCACCTACAAGTCTCTCTCTAACTCTACCCCTTCTTATCTGTCTGAACTCATTCACACCTACACACCCTCCCGTGCTCTCAGATCCCAGAACAAACATCTTCTCCAGATTCCTCGTTTTAAGACCCAGTACTACGGCCGTAGCTCCTTCACCTTCAATGCTCCCACCCTCTGGAACTCTCTCCCGCTCGCCATTCGAACTGCACCTTCCATCCAGACCTTCAAGACTGCACTTAAGACCTACCTTTTTAAGAATTAATTATTAATCTATAATTTGAATTGAAATTGTATATGCCTACAACTTGTAATATATAAATAAAATCTTGAACCATAATTGTTGTATCATTATTTAAGAATGAATTATAATGTTTATCTATCTAGTTACTGTTATACTATTTTAGTTAAGATCTTGTCAGAATTTTTGTTTGAGGATAGTTCAATAGTAGTAATAATATGTAATAAATTAAGCTTGTAATACAATGTAAAGCGCATAGAGACATACCTTGTATAATGCGCTATAGAAATATAATTTATTATTATTATTATTATTATAGTGAATGAAGCGAAAAATTGAAGGATTGACAGTTATTTTCATTATTATAAACAAGCTACATCTACTTTCTATTAAAAACCTTAAAATTCCTTTAAATAAAATTGTGAATTATCGCGTTAGACAGATTGTTGTGTTACTGTGATAGCATTCTCTTTTGTATAAGGACTAACAAGCCGACCTCAGCAAATGACTTTTTACCACGGATCCTTCAAATGCCTCTTAAAATCTGTCATAGATAAAATCATATATAACTTGAAGTCGTCAACAAAAATCTACCCTTTTTTGAAAAATTGATAGAAAGTTTTTACCTTCACATGAAGGCAAAAAATCAGAGAGAGACGTGTTTGCCAGACATGTTACTGATGCAGATCCAACACGATTATATCCTACATCACATGAGTATGAACAGCTTTCTGTGTAATTGATGGATAGTCCTGCATCGCATTGTGACGCCACAGGAGATAGACGTGGTGGAAGCTCGGGTATGGAACAGGATACAACTGATTACATAAGGAAAATGTATGATGTGTTATAAAATAAACAGTCAGGTTTTAAACCATGACTTGGGAAGTGTTTTGATTTAATCATTTTCCTTTCTTAGGGTTTAACATAAAGCATATGAAATGAAGTACATTAATGGCATGAGAAATTGATTATGTGTAAAAATTGAAACATTTTACCACGCAAAACTCCAACATTAAAAATGAGGGTGAGATGATCAGTTCCAAAGTTGTCAAGAGAATAAAGGTTTTTCGGGAACATTGAAGGACTATTAAAAACATATTGTGATGATTCAATAACGATTTCTTTATTGGAAAAGTGAAGGTCATAGAATTTGTGTGAATTAAAAAATATTTTAGATCTCAACAAAACATGACAATGAATAAATCTTTCTACTACCCAGCGTCATAACTAATCCAAGAGAAAAACATCAACAGACTTACCCGCACAGGTAGGAAAAGGTGCTGATAGTTCTCCATCACTCTGACAGGTGACATCCTCTCCACTGATCACAGTATATCCTATGGAGCACTCAAAGATACAGGTTGTTTCGAAGTCAATAGAGCTCCCTGCATCACAGTTTCCAGATAGAGAAGAGAGTTCTGCCGAGAATACCTCAGGAAGCGGACAAGTCACAACTATTAGAAAGAGGCATGAAAATTGGAGAAAAAGTGAGGAAACAAAAACAAATGGAAATATTTAAGATTATAACCTTAAATATTCGACATTAAATTTGAGCCAAGAACAACTAAGCAGTTAATGATATTTACATCGTCTCCTGATAGACATATGGCCGCTAAGGTAAAACTTTACACATTGACTTTTTCCTGGGATTTGTGAGACTATAGAGCCAGGTGTCGTAGTCGAATGGTTTAAACACTTGACTGTAGATGCGGAAGTCATGGGTTCTATCTCCATCACAGTACTTATGTCCTTACGCAAGATGTTTATTCTGCATTGCTTCTCTTCGTCCATGTGGTTTCAGCCCCGGAGACAGTTCACGAGAAAAGACTTCTGGTAGCAGACAGACCACAACTAACAAAAAGACGCAGAACAGTACAGTTCATGCGCGTGAAAACTCACATGTTGCATGAGAACTCGCTCTTAGCATCACCCCACAGAATGATTTACATGAATCACATAATCAATTTAACATCGTTATATCTTATATTGACAGATTAATAGTCGTACTTTGACATGTTAGAATATATCATCAGAGAAGGTTCCGTTGGCTAGGCAGGCTAGAGATGACATCCCAATAAGGTTTCTATATCTACTCCGACTTCGTCTGCGAGGGGCTAATTACTTAGTAGTATGATTATCAAAATGTAATTGAATAAACTCTTTTTTCTGCAAAACATTGTTTCGTTTGTTTATTTGTTTTACCTGACCGGTAAGAAATCACGTGTATGCTTCTAAATGCTTGTTAAGTTAGTAAGCAGCCTACGGAAACCTACGGCCTTAATTCCTCTCAAGGGACTTGGTAACGAGGACGAATGCCTTACCAAAGGGCAGAAGCGCATCGACTTGGTTTCGAACCCGAGACTTACCGGTTACGAGACCACTGTACTGGTCTTCCACTGGGCCATCAAACCTCATCAAATACGTCTTCAAAATTAATAAACCCACCTTCGCACGAAGGGAGAGGAGCTGACAAAGTAGTGTCCTCCAGACAGGTCACGGACGATTCGCCAGTTAGATTGTATCCAACATCACAAACGAAATGACAGGTCGTATTGTAAGTCACACTTCCAAGGCACAATACATTGGATGTTAAGAGATTGGATGGTAGCTGGGGAACTTCACAAGCTACGACTGTAAAAAAGCAAGATATTAGCACAATCGCAAAGCATTTCTAAAAAAATCGACTTAAAGGGATCGTTTATAAATCTTAAATCTGGGATACACGGCCCTACGTGTTATGATGTCACCCCTGATTTCACCCATCGGCACGCCTCGCCTCAGGATGCGTCATCCCATACAGCCTATAAACAACTATTCCTCTCACAGCAGTCATAATATCTATACTATAACATAATAACTTTACATTGTAAAAACTTATGTAAGAATAACAGTAAAGATAAATCAATCTTCTTACTTTCACATGTTGGAACGTCATCAGAGAACGTTCCGTTGGCTAGGCAGGCTAGAGATGACATCCCAATAAGGTCGTAGCCAAGGTTGCAGGAAAAATCGCATGTTGTATTGTATGCAACATTCTGTCCCTCCGTGCATGAAGATTGGAGGTTGGGTGGCAGCTGTGGTACGTTACAGGTCTCAACTGCACATAAATGTTGATAACAATAGTGGCAGGTAAACTAATTGGTGAAAAAATACATGTTTAAATGTTACTGAACGAAGCGACAGATCATTTAAAAAGCATGATTTTGCACATTAATTGTACAGAATCGGTTGTTTGGAGAGAGATCATTCGAAGAACCTGAAACAGGTTTTATTCTCGAAAATAAGACAGTCATATTCGTTACAATAGACAAGCCCCACCTAATCTGTATTATACACATTAGTCTTCCTTTAAAATATATATTATATCGCTAACTTGTATATTTTAGGGGCATTAGAAAAGTTGTTGTGTTACTGTGAAAGCATCCTCTTTTCATATAAAAGCTAACAAGTGACTTTTGACGTTGAATCTTCAAATGTTTCCAACAATCAGTCATTGAAAAAAATAATATACAAATTGAAATCGTCAACAAAAATCTACCCTCATTTGAAAAATTCATGGAAAGTGAGAGAGAGAGAGAGAGAGAGAGAGAGGGAGAGATACGTGTTTGCCAGACATTGGTACACAAGGAGATCCTACAACATTGTATCCCACATCACAGACAATATGATACTTTCAACCAAGTCATTGTGCTCATTCATTTGAAAACTACTTTTTCAGCTGTCGTAGTGTCTAAGAGGATAATCTAAGATCAGGAAAATATCGACGGGAAAATCTTTGGATCTCTAGATAAGTTATCCAATCACCAACTAAATATTTTAGGGAAAAAAAATTGTACAAAATGTCAACTCCTTTAAAAATATGATTTAAAAAATTTTACCTTCACATTGAGGCAGAAAATCAGAGAGAGACGTGTTTGCCAGACACCTTACTGATGCAGATCCAACAAGATTATATCCTACATCACATGAGTATAAACAGCTTTCTGTGTAATTGATGGATAGTCCTGCATCGCATTGTGACGCCATAGGAGATAGACGTGGTGGAAGCTCGGGTACGGAACAGGATACAACTGATTACAAAAGGAAAATGTATGTTGTGTTTTAAAATAAACAGGCAGGTTTTAAACCATGACTTGGGAAGTGTTTTGATTTCAGCTTTTCTTTTCTTGGGGTTTGACATGAAGCATCTGAAATGAAGTGCATGAATGGCATAATAAATTGACTACCGGGTATGTGTAAATATTGACACATTTTACCGTAAAAAACTCCGAAGCTAAAACTAAGACTGAGATGAAAAGTTCCCAATTTGTCAAGAGAATAAAGGTTTTTCGCGATTAAATCCATTCATACTCATTCAAAGATATGGCATTTAATTGGAACCGAGTATCAATACAAGAAAACCATAGTTATTGCCAATTTGAAGAATGAAAGTTAATCAACTTATGCTTTAAAGAACAAAAATCTGTCTCTTAGCATCACCCCACAGAATGATTTACATGAATCACATAATCAATTTAACATCGTTATATCTTATATTGACAGATTAATAGTCGTACTTTGACATGTTGGAATATCATTAGAGAAGGTTCCGTTGGCTAGGCAGGCTAGAGATGACATCCCAATAAGGTCGTAGCCAATGTTGCAGGAAAAATCACATGTTTTATTGTATGCCACATTCTGTCCCTCCATGCATAAAGATGAAAGGTTGAATGGCAGCTGAGAAACGTTGCAGGTCTCAACTAGACATTAAAGTTGATATCATAATGGCATGTAAAAGGATAAATAAAAAACATGTGTTCATATGTAGTGTTTGTCCAGTACCTCTTTATTCCTGCTGGGATGAATAGGAACATAGACAAAGGATGTTTGTCGACTTTGAAATACAGCACAAGAGAACTTTTTGATATCAAGAAGGCAATTAAGACCACTCCATTGAATCGGATTGATGACAGTCTATGGGAAGAACTCTGTGACTTAAACATAGCTAAGAGGCGTACAAGCAGAGCTGGTAGGAAGGTTGCAAGAAAGGCATTGTCTGCTCCACCAAGATCCATTTCTTCTCATGTATCCTGTAATACGCGATCTCTTCGTTTCGTCAGCAAAAGAGATAACATAGATGATGCCCTCATCAGAATTGAATTGCCTAGAAATCGTTGTGAATCTCAGCCCACACGTTTCGCACTCTGGAATGCGAGATCGATCAAGGCCAAAGGGAAAGCCACGACTGTTTGTGACTATGTCATACAAGATCGCATTGATGTGTTAGCCCTTACTGAGACCTGGCTAACAAACACAGACAGAGATCACCATGCCATTGCAACCATCCGCAAGACATTGGTGAATTATGACTTTCATCACATCCCACGGGCAACATCCACAGGTGGAGGAGTTGGTGTGATCCTGCATAAAGCTTTCGATGTCGTGTTCCATGACAGGCATGCCTTCTCTTCGTTTGAATACAGTGACCTTACCATCCACTCGTCGACAAAGCATCTCCGCCTAGTCACTGTATACAGACCTCCAACATCGAAGAAAAATAAACACTCGATCGCAGATTTTTGTCAAGAATTCTCTTCCTTCATTGAGATTCTCCAGGCGTCAAACAAGCCTCTACTACTTGTAGGAGACTTTAACATCCACGTCGACAACGAAGCTGATGCTAATTCTAGAGCATTCCTTGAGCTCCTTGATGGGGTTAGTTTCAGTAATCATGTTTGCTGTCCTACACATAAGGCTAAGCACACACTTGACCTGATCATCACCAGGGGAGAGAACCAGTTGGTTTCCAATGTTACAACCAGTCAGTCACTGCCATCTGACCATTCTGTTGTTACATGCGACCTCAAATTATCACGTCCTGCGCATATTCAGAAGAAATTTAAGTCCCGATCCCTCAAGACCATCGACCTGAGTTCATTCGCAGCTGATCTAGCATCATCAAGTGTCATCACCAACCCCCCAGATGATCCAGAACAGCTAGCGAACTTATTAGACAGTGAACTTCGAAACATTCTAGATTTACATGCTCCAGAACTTGAGAAGAATGTTATTCTACGTCCACACGCCCCCTGGTACAACCAACATCTTAGAAAGGCGAAACAAGAACGTAGACGCTGCGAGAGGAGAGCAACAAAGCCAACAAGCTTGCAAATCGACAAAGAGATCTACCAGAAACATTGCAAGCTCTACAATGATCTACTTTATGAAACCAAGGAATTGTATTTTCAGAACAAGATACAGGATGCAGATCAGAAGCAGCTTTTCCGCATAATGAATGATCTGACTTCTCCTACTGCAGGTTCCTGTTTACCACAGCACACAAGTCCATCTGAGCTCGCTCAAGATTTTAGTGACTTCTTCACAACCAAGATTAGACGTCTTCGCGACAACCTTGATCAGCAAATCTATGAAGACATCTCGGCTGATATTTCTTCATCAACCCATCATCACTTCATGAATTTTGACGAAGTCTCACAGGACGAGGTTTTGTCAATCATTAAGACCTCATCTTCAGCATCCTGTGCCTTGGACCCCTTGCCCACCATCCTCCTGAAGCGTTGCACATCTATTCTTGCTCCTCTCATCACAAAGTTCGTCAACCTGAGTTTCCAGACGGGCATATTTCCCACAGCCTTGAAACACGCTATAGTGTTTCCAAAACTTAAGAAATCGAATCTACCAGTCAACGAACTCAAGAATTTCAGACCAATCTCAAACATCCCCTACATGTCGAAGGTAGTAGAAAGGGCTGTCATGGGGCAATTTCTAGAGTACCTTGAAGAAAATGCCTTACTTCCTAAAACACAGTCAGCTTACCGAAAGCACCATAGTGTAGAAACAGCTCTTCTACGCGTAGAAAATGACTGCTTAGAGGCCTTAGACACCCATAAAGAAGTGATCCTCGTACTCCTAGATTTTACGGCCGCGTTCGACACTATAGACCATCCAATACTCCTGGAGAGACTTTCTGAGAATTTTGGAGTTTCAGGAAATGCAATGAAATGGTTCCACTCTTACCTTGCAGGAAGGAATCATGTGGTAAGAGTGAGCCTTGCTTCTTCAGGACCAGTAGAGGACACATGCGGCGTACCCCAAGGTTCGGTACTTGGACCGCTGCTGTTTACCCTGTACACTGCCCCAATCCATGACATCATATCTGATCATGGAATTCAGTCAATGTTATATGCTGACGACACTCAGATCTACCTGTCTTTCGACCCATCAGAGAGAGCATCTGCCGTTCTTCGAGTGAACAGATGCATAGCTGACATCCGCTCCTGGGCAGGCTTAAACAAGTTAAAAATTAATGACGGCAAAACGGAAGTTCTTCACTTTTCCTCCAGATTCCTCCCAAGAACACCCTCTGTTACGGTAACAGTCGGTGAGTCAGTTATTGAAGCCAAGGCCGAGGCTAGGAACTTGGGAATCATATTCGATGAGCACGCCACTAGGAAATCTCATGTCGCAGGGGTGTGTCGCTCTGCCATGTCATCCATCAGAAAGATAGGTCAAATTCGTAGGGTTTTAGACCGGAAGACAACTCTCACCCTCATTCATGCCTTCGTCACCTCCAAACTTGACACATGCAATGCACTTCTTCCTAATCTTCCTGCCAACGAACTGATGAAGCTTCAAAGAATTCAAAACATCGCAGCCAGAATCACAGAGGAAGCAACTGGTCTCACTTCTACCACATCCCTTCTCCGTAACCTCCACTGGCTCCCAATCAACAAGCGGATTCACTTTAAGATCCTACTTCTCACCTACAAGTCTCTCTCTAACTCTACCCCTTCTTATCTGTCTGAACTCATTCACACCTACACACCCTCCCGTGCTCTCAGATCCCAGAACAAACATCTTCTCCAGATTCCTCGTTTTAAGACCCAGTACTACGGCCGTAGCTCCTTCACCTTCAATGCTCCCACCCTCTGGAACTCTCTCCCGCTCGCCATTCGAACTGCACCTTCCATCCAGACCTTCAAGACTGCACTTAAGACCTACCTTTTTAAGAATTAATTATTAATCTATAATTTGAATTGAAATTGTATATGCCTACAACTTGTAATATATAAATAAAATCTTGAACCATAATTGTTGTATCATTATTTAAGAATGAATTATAATGTTTATCTATCTAGTTACTGTTATACTATTTTAGTTAAGATCTTGTCAGAATTTTTGTTTGAGGATAGTTCAATAGTAGTAATAATATGTAATAAATTAAGCTTGTAATACAATGTAAAGCGCATAGAGACATACCTTGTATAATGCGCTATAGAAATATAATTTATTATTATTATTATTATTATAGTGAATGAAGCGAAAAATTGAAGGATTGACAGTTATTTTCATTATTATAAACAAGCTACATCTACTTTCTATTAAAAACCTTAAAATTCCTTTAAATAAAATTGTGAATTATCGCGTTAGACAGATTGTTGTGTTACTGTGATAGCATTCTCTTTTGTATAAGGACTAACAAGCCGACCTCAGCAAATGACTTTTTACCACGGATCCTTCAAATGCCTCTTAAAATCTGTCATAGATAAAATCATATATAACTTGAAGTCGTCAACAAAAATCTACCCTTTTTTGAAAAATTGATAGAAAGTTTTTACCTTCACATGAAGGCAAAAAATCAGAGAGAGACGTGTTTGCCAGACATGTTACTGATGCAGATCCAACACGATTATATCCTACATCACATGAGTATGAACAGCTTTCTGTGTAATTGATGGATAGTCCTGCATCGCATTGTGACGCCACAGGAGATAGACGTGGTGGAAGCTCGGGTATGGAACAGGATACAACTGATTACATAAGGAAAATGTATGATGTGTTATAAAATAAACAGTCAGGTTTTAAACCATGACTTGGGAAGTGTTTTGATTTAATCATTTTCCTTTCTTAGGGTTTAACATAAAGCATATGAAATGAAGTACATTAATGGCATGAGAAATTGATTATGTGTAAAAATTGAAACATTTTACCACGCAAAACTCCAACATTAAAAATGAGGGTGAGATGATCAGTTCCAAAGTTGTCAAGAGAATAAAGGTTTTTCGGGAACATTGAAGGACTATTAAAAACATATTGTGATGATTCAATAACGATTTCTTTATTGGAAAAGTGAAGGTCATAGAATTTGTGTGAATTAAAAAATATTTTAGATCTCAACAAAACATGACAATGAATAAATCTTTCTACTACCCAGCGTCATAACTAATCCAAGAGAAAAACATCAACAGACTTACCCGCACAGGTAGGAAAAGGTGCTGATAGTTCTCCATCACTCTGACAGGTGACATCCTCTCCACTGATCACAGTATATCCTATGGAGCACTCAAAGATACAGGTTGTTTCGAAGTCAATAGAGCTCCCTGCATCACAGTTTCCAGATAGAGAAGAGAGTTCTGCCGAGAATACCTCAGGAAGCGGACAAGTCACAACTATTAGAAAGAGGCATGAAAATTGGAGAAAAAGTGAGGAAACAAAAACAAATGGAAATATTTAAGATTATAACCTTAAATATTCGACATTAAATTTGAGCCAAGAACAACTAAGCAGTTAATGATATTTACATCGTCTCCTGATAGACATATGGCCGCTAAGGTAAAACTTTACACATTGACTTTTTCCTGGGATTTGTGAGACTATAGAGCCAGGTGTCGTAGTCGAATGGTTTAAACACTTGACTGTAGATGCGGAAGTCATGGGTTCTATCTCCATCACAGTACTTATGTCCTTACGCAAGATGTTTATTCTGCATTGCTTCTCTTCGTCCATGTGGTTTCAGCCCCGGAGACAGTTCACGAGAAAAGACTTCTGGTAGCAGACAGACCACAACTAACAAAAAGACGCAGAACAGTACAGTTCATGCGCGTGAAAACTCACATGTTGCATGAGAACTCGCTCTTAGCATCACCCCACAGAATGATTTACATGAATCACATAATCAATTTAACATCGTTATATCTTATATTGACAGATTAATAGTCGTACTTTGACATGTTAGAATATATCATCAGAGAAGGTTCCGTTGGCTAGGCAGGCTAGAGATGACATCCCAATAAGGTTTCTATATCTACTCCGACTTCGTCTGCGAGGGGCTAATTACTTAGTAGTATGATTATCAAAATGTAATTGAATAAACTCTTTTTTCTGCAAAACATTGTTTCGTTTGTTTATTTGTTTTACCTGACCGGTAAGAAATCACGTGTATGCTTCTAAATGCTTGTTAAGTTAGTAAGCAGCCTACGGAAACCTACGGCCTTAATTCCTCTCAAGGGACTTGGTAACGAGGACGAATGCCTTACCAAAGGGCAGAAGCGCATCGACTTGGTTTCGAACCCGAGACTTACCGGTTACGAGACCACTGTACTGGTCTTCCACTGGGCCATCAAACCTCATCAAATACGTCTTCAAAATTAATAAACCCACCTTCGCACGAAGGGAGAGGAGCTGACAAAGTAGTGTCCTCCAGACAGGTCACGGACGATTCGCCAGTTAGATTGTATCCAACATCACAAACGAAATGACAGGTCGTATTGTAAGTCACACTTCCAAGGCACAATACATTGGATGTTAAGAGATTGGATGGTAGCTGGGGAACTTCACAAGCTACGACTGTAAAAAAGCAAGATATTAGCACAATCGCAAAGCATTTCTAAAAAAATCGACTTAAAGGGATCGTTTATAAATCTTAAATCTGGGATACACGGCCCTACGTGTTATGATGTCACCCCTGATTTCACCCATCGGCACGCCTCGCCTCAGGATGCGTCATCCCATACAGCCTATAAACAACTATTCCTCTCACAGCAGTCATAATATCTATACTATAACATAATAACTTTACATTGTAAAAACTTATGTAAGAATAACAGTAAAGATAAATCAATCTTCTTACTTTCACATGTTGGAACGTCATCAGAGAACGTTCCGTTGGCTAGGCAGGCTAGAGATGACATCCCAATAAGGTCGTAGCCAAGGTTGCAGGAAAAATCGCATGTTGTATTGTATGCAACATTCTGTCCCTCCGTGCATGAAGATTGGAGGTTGGGTGGCAGCTGTGGTACGTTACAGGTCTCAACTGCACATAAATGTTGATAACAATAGTGGCAGGTAAACTAATTGGTGAAAAAATACATGTTTAAATGTTACTGAACGAAGCGACAGATCATTTAAAAAGCATGATTTTGCACATTAATTGTACAGAATCGGTTGTTTGGAGAGAGATCATTCGAAGAACCTGAAACAGGTTTTATTCTCGAAAATAAGACAGTCATATTCGTTACAATAGACAAGCCCCACCTAATCTGTATTATACACATTAGTCTTCCTTTAAAATATATATTATATCGCTAACTTGTATATTTTAGGGGCATTAGAAAAGTTGTTGTGTTACTGTGAAAGCATCCTCTTTTCATATAAAAGCTAACAAGTGACTTTTGACGTTGAATCTTCAAATGTTTCCAACAATCAGTCATTGAAAAAAATAATATACAAATTGAAATCGTCAACAAAAATCTACCCTCATTTGAAAAATTCATGGAAAGTGAGAGAGAGAGAGAGAGAGAGAGAGGGAGAGATACGTGTTTGCCAGACATTGGTACACAAGGAGATCCTACAACATTGTATCCCACATCACAGACAATATGATACTTTCAACCAAGTCATTGTGCTCATTCATTTGAAAACTACTTTTTCAGCTGTCGTAGTGTCTAAGAGGATAATCTAAGATCAGGAAAATATCGACGGGAAAATCTTTGGATCTCTAGATAAGTTATCCAATCACCAACTAAATATTTTAGGGAAAAAAAATTGTACAAAATGTCAACTCCTTTAAAAATATGATTTAAAAAATTTTACCTTCACATTGAGGCAGAAAATCAGAGAGAGACGTGTTTGCCAGACACCTTACTGATGCAGATCCAACAAGATTATATCCTACATCACATGAGTATAAACAGCTTTCTGTGTAATTGATGGATAGTCCTGCATCGCATTGTGACGCCATAGGAGATAGACGTGGTGGAAGCTCGGGTACGGAACAGGATACAACTGATTACAAAAGGAAAATGTATGTTGTGTTTTAAAATAAACAGGCAGGTTTTAAACCATGACTTGGGAAGTGTTTTGATTTCAGCTTTTCTTTTCTTGGGGTTTGACATGAAGCATCTGAAATGAAGTGCATGAATGGCATAATAAATTGACTACCGGGTATGTGTAAATATTGACACATTTTACCGTAAAAAACTCCGAAGCTAAAACTAAGACTGAGATGAAAAGTTCCCAATTTGTCAAGAGAATAAAGGTTTTTCGCGATTAAATCCATTCATACTCATTCAAAGATATGGCATTTAATTGGAACCGAGTATCAATACAAGAAAACCATAGTTATTGCCAATTTGAAGAATGAAAGTTAATCAACTTATGCTTTAAAGAACAAAAATCTGTCTCTTAGCATCACCCCACAGAATGATTTACATGAATCACATAATCAATTTAACATCGTTATATCTTATATTGACAGATTAATAGTCGTACTTTGACATGTTGGAATATCATTAGAGAAGGTTCCGTTGGCTAGGCAGGCTAGAGATGACATCCCAATAAGGTCGTAGCCAATGTTGCAGGAAAAATCACATGTTTTATTGTATGCCACATTCTGTCCCTCCATGCATAAAGATGAAAGGTTGAATGGCAGCTGAGAAACGTTGCAGGTCTCAACTAGACATTAAAGTTGATATCATAATGGCATGTAAAAGGATAAATAAAAAACATGTGTTCATATGTAGTGTTTGTCCAGTACCTCTTTATTCCTGCTGGGATGAATAGGAACATAGACAAAGGATGTTTGTCGACTTTGAAATACAGCACAAGAGAACTTTTTGATATCAAGAAGGCAATTAAGACCACTCCATTGAATCGGATTGATGACAGTCTATGGGAAGAACTCTGTGACTTAAACATAGCTAAGAGGCGTACAAGCAGAGCTGGTAGGAAGGTTGCAAGAAAGGCATTGTCTGCTCCACCAAGATCCATTTCTTCTCATGTATCCTGTAATACGCGATCTCTTCGTTTCGTCAGCAAAAGAGATAACATAGATGATGCCCTCATCAGAATTGAATTGCCTAGAAATCGTTGTGAATCTCAGCCCACACGTTTCGCACTCTGGAATGCGAGATCGATCAAGGCCAAAGGGAAAGCCACGACTGTTTGTGACTATGTCATACAAGATCGCATTGATGTGTTAGCCCTTACTGAGACCTGGCTAACAAACACAGACAGAGATCACCATGCCATTGCAACCATCCGCAAGACATTGGTGAATTATGACTTTCATCACATCCCACGGGCAACATCCACAGGTGGAGGAGTTGGTGTGATCCTGCATAAAGCTTTCGATGTCGTGTTCCATGACAGGCATGCCTTCTCTTCGTTTGAATACAGTGACCTTACCATCCACTCGTCGACAAAGCATCTCCGCCTAGTCACTGTATACAGACCTCCAACATCGAAGAAAAATAAACACTCGATCGCAGATTTTTGTCAAGAATTCTCTTCCTTCATTGAGATTCTCCAGGCGTCAAACAAGCCTCTACTACTTGTAGGAGACTTTAACATCCACGTCGACAACGAAGCTGATGCTAATTCTAGAGCATTCCTTGAGCTCCTTGATGGGGTTAGTTTCAGTAATCATGTTTGCTGTCCTACACATAAGGCTAAGCACACACTTGACCTGATCATCACCAGGGGAGAGAACCAGTTGGTTTCCAATGTTACAACCAGTCAGTCACTGCCATCTGACCATTCTGTTGTTACATGCGACCTCAAATTATCACGTCCTGCGCATATTCAGAAGAAATTTAAGTCCCGATCCCTCAAGACCATCGACCTGAGTTCATTCGCAGCTGATCTAGCATCATCAAGTGTCATCACCAACCCCCCAGATGATCCAGAACAGCTAGCGAACTTATTAGACAGTGAACTTCGAAACATTCTAGATTTACATGCTCCAGAACTTGAGAAGAATGTTATTCTACGTCCACACGCCCCCTGGTACAACCAACATCTTAGAAAGGCGAAACAAGAACGTAGACGCTGCGAGAGGAGAGCAACAAAGCCAACAAGCTTGCAAATCGACAAAGAGATCTACCAGAAACATTGCAAGCTCTACAATGATCTACTTTATGAAACCAAGGAATTGTATTTTCAGAACAAGATACAGGATGCAGATCAGAAGCAGCTTTTCCGCATAATGAATGATCTGACTTCTCCTACTGCAGGTTCCTGTTTACCACAGCACACAAGTCCATCTGAGCTCGCTCAAGATTTTAGTGACTTCTTCACAACCAAGATTAGACGTCTTCGCGACAACCTTGATCAGCAAATCTATGAAGACATCTCGGCTGATATTTCTTCATCAACCCATCATCACTTCATGAATTTTGACGAAGTCTCACAGGACGAGGTTTTGTCAATCATTAAGACCTCATCTTCAGCATCCTGTGCCTTGGACCCCTTGCCCACCATCCTCCTGAAGCGTTGCACATCTATTCTTGCTCCTCTCATCACAAAGTTCGTCAACCTGAGTTTCCAGACGGGCATATTTCCCACAGCCTTGAAACACGCTATAGTGTTTCCAAAACTTAAGAAATCGAATCTACCAGTCAACGAACTCAAGAATTTCAGACCAATCTCAAACATCCCCTACATGTCGAAGGTAGTAGAAAGGGCTGTCATGGGGCAATTTCTAGAGTACCTTGAAGAAAATGCCTTACTTCCTAAAACACAGTCAGCTTACCGAAAGCACCATAGTGTAGAAACAGCTCTTCTACGCGTAGAAAATGACTGCTTAGAGGCCTTAGACACCCATAAAGAAGTGATCCTCGTACTCCTAGATTTTACGGCCGCGTTCGACACTATAGACCATCCAATACTCCTGGAGAGACTTTCTGAGAATTTTGGAGTTTCAGGAAATGCAATGAAATGGTTCCACTCTTACCTTGCAGGAAGGAATCATGTGGTAAGAGTGAGCCTTGCTTCTTCAGGACCAGTAGAGGACACATGCGGCGTACCCCAAGGTTCGGTACTTGGACCGCTGCTGTTTACCCTGTACACTGCCCCAATCCATGACATCATATCTGATCATGGAATTCAGTCAATGTTATATGCTGACGACACTCAGATCTACCTGTCTTTCGACCCATCAGAGAGAGCATCTGCCGTTCTTCGAGTGAACAGATGCATAGCTGACATCCGCTCCTGGGCAGGCTTAAACAAGTTAAAAATTAATGACGGCAAAACGGAAGTTCTTCACTTTTCCTCCAGATTCCTCCCAAGAACACCCTCTGTTACGGTAACAGTCGGTGAGTCAGTTATTGAAGCCAAGGCCGAGGCTAGGAACTTGGGAATCATATTCGATGAGCACGCCACTAGGAAATCTCATGTCGCAGGGGTGTGTCGCTCTGCCATGTCATCCATCAGAAAGATAGGTCAAATTCGTAGGGTTTTAGACCGGAAGACAACTCTCACCCTCATTCATGCCTTCGTCACCTCCAAACTTGACACATGCAATGCACTTCTTCCTAATCTTCCTGCCAACGAACTGATGAAGCTTCAAAGAATTCAAAACATCGCAGCCAGAATCACAGAGGAAGCAACTGGTCTCACTTCTACCACATCCCTTCTCCGTAACCTCCACTGGCTCCCAATCAACAAGCGGATTCACTTTAAGATCCTACTTCTCACCTACAAGTCTCTCTCTAACTCTACCCCTTCTTATCTGTCTGAACTCATTCACACCTACACACCCTCCCGTGCTCTCAGATCCCAGAACAAACATCTTCTCCAGATTCCTCGTTTTAAGACCCAGTACTACGGCCGTAGCTCCTTCACCTTCAATGCTCCCACCCTCTGGAACTCTCTCCCGCTCGCCATTCGAACTGCACCTTCCATCCAGACCTTCAAGACTGCACTTAAGACCTACCTTTTTAAGAATTAATTATTAATCTATAATTTGAATTGAAATTGTATATGCCTACAACTTGTAATATATAAATAAAATCTTGAACCATAATTGTTGTATCATTATTTAAGAATGAATTATAATGTTTATCTATCTAGTTACTGTTATACTATTTTAGTTAAGATCTTGTCAGAATTTTTGTTTGAGGATAGTTCAATAGTAGTAATAATATGTAATAAATTAAGCTTGTAATACAATGTAAAGCGCATAGAGACATACCTTGTATAATGCGCTATAGAAATATAATTTATTATTATTATTATTATTATAGTGAATGAAGCGAAAAATTGAAGGATTGACAGTTATTTTCATTATTATAAACAAGCTACATCTACTTTCTATTAAAAACCTTAAAATTCCTTTAAATAAAATTGTGAATTATCGCGTTAGACAGATTGTTGTGTTACTGTGATAGCATTCTCTTTTGTATAAGGACTAACAAGCCGACCTCAGCAAATGACTTTTTACCACGGATCCTTCAAATGCCTCTTAAAATCTGTCATAGATAAAATCATATATAACTTGAAGTCGTCAACAAAAATCTACCCTTTTTTGAAAAATTGATAGAAAGTTTTTACCTTCACATGAAGGCAAAAAATCAGAGAGAGACGTGTTTGCCAGACATGTTACTGATGCAGATCCAACACGATTATATCCTACATCACATGAGTATGAACAGCTTTCTGTGTAATTGATGGATAGTCCTGCATCGCATTGTGACGCCACAGGAGATAGACGTGGTGGAAGCTCGGGTATGGAACAGGATACAACTGATTACATAAGGAAAATGTATGATGTGTTATAAAATAAACAGTCAGGTTTTAAACCATGACTTGGGAAGTGTTTTGATTTAATCATTTTCCTTTCTTAGGGTTTAACATAAAGCATATGAAATGAAGTACATTAATGGCATGAGAAATTGATTATGTGTAAAAATTGAAACATTTTACCACGCAAAACTCCAACATTAAAAATGAGGGTGAGATGATCAGTTCCAAAGTTGTCAAGAGAATAAAGGTTTTTCGGGAACATTGAAGGACTATTAAAAACATATTGTGATGATTCAATAACGATTTCTTTATTGGAAAAGTGAAGGTCATAGAATTTGTGTGAATTAAAAAATATTTTAGATCTCAACAAAACATGACAATGAATAAATCTTTCTACTACCCAGCGTCATAACTAATCCAAGAGAAAAACATCAACAGACTTACCCGCACAGGTAGGAAAAGGTGCTGATAGTTCTCCATCACTCTGACAGGTGACATCCTCTCCACTGATCACAGTATATCCTATGGAGCACTCAAAGATACAGGTTGTTTCGAAGTCAATAGAGCTCCCTGCATCACAGTTTCCAGATAGAGAAGAGAGTTCTGCCGAGAATACCTCAGGAAGCGGACAAGTCACAACTATTAGAAAGAGGCATGAAAATTGGAGAAAAAGTGAGGAAACAAAAACAAATGGAAATATTTAAGATTATAACCTTAAATATTCGACATTAAATTTGAGCCAAGAACAACTAAGCAGTTAATGATATTTACATCGTCTCCTGATAGACATATGGCCGCTAAGGTAAAACTTTACACATTGACTTTTTCCTGGGATTTGTGAGACTATAGAGCCAGGTGTCGTAGTCGAATGGTTTAAACACTTGACTGTAGATGCGGAAGTCATGGGTTCTATCTCCATCACAGTACTTATGTCCTTACGCAAGATGTTTATTCTGCATTGCTTCTCTTCGTCCATGTGGTTTCAGCCCCGGAGACAGTTCACGAGAAAAGACTTCTGGTAGCAGACAGACCACAACTAACAAAAAGACGCAGAACAGTACAGTTCATGCGCGTGAAAACTCACATGTTGCATGAGAACTCGCTCTTAGCATCACCCCACAGAATGATTTACATGAATCACATAATCAATTTAACATCGTTATATCTTATATTGACAGATTAATAGTCGTACTTTGACATGTTAGAATATATCATCAGAGAAGGTTCCGTTGGCTAGGCAGGCTAGAGATGACATCCCAATAAGGTTTCTATATCTACTCCGACTTCGTCTGCGAGGGGCTAATTACTTAGTAGTATGATTATCAAAATGTAATTGAATAAACTCTTTTTTCTGCAAAACATTGTTTCGTTTGTTTATTTGTTTTACCTGACCGGTAAGAAATCACGTGTATGCTTCTAAATGCTTGTTAAGTTAGTAAGCAGCCTACGGAAACCTACGGCCTTAATTCCTCTCAAGGGACTTGGTAACGAGGACGAATGCCTTACCAAAGGGCAGAAGCGCATCGACTTGGTTTCGAACCCGAGACTTACCGGTTACGAGACCACTGTACTGGTCTTCCACTGGGCCATCAAACCTCATCAAATACGTCTTCAAAATTAATAAACCCACCTTCGCACGAAGGGAGAGGAGCTGACAAAGTAGTGTCCTCCAGACAGGTCACGGACGATTCGCCAGTTAGATTGTATCCAACATCACAAACGAAATGACAGGTCGTATTGTAAGTCACACTTCCAAGGCACAATACATTGGATGTTAAGAGATTGGATGGTAGCTGGGGAACTTCACAAGCTACGACTGTAAAAAAGCAAGATATTAGCACAATCGCAAAGCATTTCTAAAAAAATCGACTTAAAGGGATCGTTTATAAATCTTAAATCTGGGATACACGGCCCTACGTGTTATGATGTCACCCCTGATTTCACCCATCGGCACGCCTCGCCTCAGGATGCGACATCCCATAGAGCCTATAAACAACTATTCCTCTCACAGCAGTCATAATATCTATACTATAACATAATAACTTTACATTTTAAAAACTTATGTAAGAATAACAGTAAAGATAAATCAATCTTCTTACTTTCACATGTTGGAACGTCATCAGAGAACGTTCCGTTGGCTAGGCAGGCTAGAGATGACATCCCAATAAGGTCGTAGCCAAGGTTGCAGGAAAAATCGCATGTTGTATTGTATGCAACATTCTGTCCCTCCGTGCATGAAGATTGGAGGTTGGGTGGCAGCTGTGGTACGTTACAGGTCTCAACTGCACATAAATGTTGATAACAATAGTGGCAGGTAAACTAATTGGTGAAAAAATACATGTTTAAATGTTACTGAACGAAGCGACAGATCATTTAAAAAGCATGATTTTGCACATTAATTGTACAGAATCGGTTGTTTGGAGAGAGATCATTCGAAGAACCTGAAACAGGTTTTATTCTCGAAAATAAGACAGTCATATTCGTTACAATAGACAAGCCCCACCTAATCTGTATTATACACATTAGTCTTCCTTTAAAATATATATTATATCGCTAACTTGTATATTTTAGGGGCATTAGAAAAGTTGTTGTGTTACTGTGAAAGCATCCTCTTTTCATATAAAAGCTAACAAGTGACTTTGGACGTTGAATCTTCAAATGTTTCCAACAATCAGTCATTGAAAAAAATAATATACAAATTGAAATCGTCAACAAAAATCTACCCTCATTTGAAAAACTCATGGAAAGTGAGAGAGAGAGAGAGGGAGAGATACGTGTTTGCCAGACATTGGTACACAAGGAGATCCTACAACATTGTATCCCACATCACAGACAATATGATACTTTCAACCAAGTCATTGTGCTCATTCATTTGAAAACTACTTTTTCAGCTGTCGTAGTGTCTAAGAGGATAATCTAAGATCAGGAAAATATCGACGGGAAAATCTTTGGATCTCTAGATAAGTTATCCAATCACCAACTAAATATTTTAGGGAAAAAAAATTGTACAAAATGTCAACTCCTTTAAAAATATGATTTAACAAATTTTACCTTCACATTGAGGCAGAAAATCAGAGAGAGACGTGTTTGCCAGACACCTTACTGATGCAGATCCAACAAGATTATATCCTACATCACATGAGTATAAACAGCTTTCTGTGTAATTGATGGATAGTCCTGCATCGCATTGTGACGCCATAGGAGATAGACGTGGTGGAAGCTCGGGTACGGAACAGGATACAACTGATTACAAAAGGAAAATGTATGTTGTGTTTTAAAATAAACAGGCAGGTTTTAAACCATGACTTGGGAAGTGTTTTGATTTCAGCTTTTCTTTTCTTGGGGTTTGACATGAAGCATCTGAAATGAAGTGCATGAATGGCATAATAAATTGACTACCGGGTATGTGTAAATATTGACACATTTTACCGTAAAAAACTCCGAAGTTAAAACTAAGACTGAGATGAAAAGTTCCCAATTTGTCAAGAGAATAAAGGTTTTTCGCGATTAAATCCATTCATACTCATTCAAAGATATGGCATTTAATTGGAACCGAGTATCAATACAAGAAAACCATAGTTATTGCCAATTTGAAGAATGAAAGTTAATCAACTTATGCTTTAAAGAACAAAAATCTGTCTCTTAGCATCACCCCACAGAATGATTTACATGAATCACATAATCAATTTAACATCGTTATATCTTATATTGACAGATTAATAGTCGTACTTTGACATGTTGGAATATCATTAGAGAAGGTTCCGTTGGCTAGGCAGGCTAGAGATGACATCCCAATAAGGTCGTAGCCAATGTTGCAGGAAAAATCACATGTTTTATTGTATGCCACATTCTGTCCCTCCATGCATAAAGATGAAAGGTTGAATGGCAGCTGAGAAACGTTGCAGGTCTCAACTAGACATTAAAGTTGATATCATAATGGCATGTAAAAGGATAAATAAAAAACATGTGTTCATATGTAGTGAATGAAGCGAAAAATTGAATGATTGACAGTTATTTTCATTATTATAAACAAGCTACATCTACTTTCTATTAAATACCTTAAAATTCCTTTAAATAAAATTGTGAATTATCGCGTTAGACAGATTGTTGTGTTACTGTGATAGCATTCTCTTTTGTATAAGGACTAACAAGCCGACCTCAGCAAATGACTTTTTACCACGGATCCTTCAAATGCCTCTTAAAATCTGTCATAGATAAAATCATATATAACTTGAAGTCGTCAACAAAAATCTACCCTTTTTTGAAAAATTGATAGAAAGTTTTTACCTTCACATGAAGGCAAAAAATCAGAGAGAGACGTGTTTGCCAGACATGTTACTGATGCAGATCCAACACGATTATATCCTACATCACATGAGTATGAACAGCTTTCTGTGTAATTGATGGATAGTCCTGCATCGCATTGTGACGCCACAGGAGATAGACGTGGTGGAAGCTCGGGTATGGAACAGGATACAACTGATTACAAAAGGAAAATGTATGATGTGTTATAAAATAAACAGGCAGGTTTTAAACCATGACTTGGGAAGTGTTTTGATTTAATCATTTTCCTTTCTTAGGGTTTAACATAAAGCATATGAAATGAAGAACATTAATGGCATGAGAAATTGATTATGTGTAAAAATTGAAACATTTTACCACGCAAAACTCCAACATTAAAAATGAGGGTGAGATGATCAGTTCCAAAGTTGTCAAGAGAATAAAGGTTTTTCGGGAACATTGAAGGACTATTTAAAACATATTGTGATGATTCAATAACGATTTCTTTATTGGAAAAGTCAAGTTCATAGAATTTTTGTGAATTAAAAATCATTTTAGATCTCAACAATACTCTTTTTACTACCCAGCGTCATAACTAATCCAAGAGAAAAAAAACATCAACAGACTTACCCCCACAGGTAGGAATAGGTGCTGATAGTTCTCCATCACTCTGACAGGTGACATCCTCTCCACCGATCACAGTATATCCTATGGAGCACTCAAAGAAACAGGTTGTTTCGAAGTCAATAGAGCTCCCTGCATCACAGTTTCCAGATAGAGAAGAGAGTTCTGCCGAGAATACCTCAGGAAGTTGACAAGTCACAACTATTAGAAAGAAGCATGAAAATTGGAGAAAAAATGGAGAAAAAAACAAACATGGAAATATTTAACATTATAACCTTAAATATTCATCATTAAATTTGAGCAAAGAACAACAAAGCAGTTAATGATATTTACATCGTCTCCTGATAGACACATCACATGAATATGAACAGCTTTCTGAGTAATTGACGGATAGCCCTCCGTCGCCTTGTGACGTCAGAGGAGATAGACGTGGTTGAAGCTAATATATGAAACAGGATATGAGTGAGAAAGTAATTAACGATTTTAGGAGACAAGAAAGTATCAGTGGGGGTAGAAGGATCATTCATAAGGATTTAGGGAATGTTTTTGTGCTTAGATATTATGTGTATGTGCAATTTGGTGCAAAACGTTCTTCGAAGTGCGACTTTGCGAGGTTGCTATACATTTGAAGTGCATACAGTTGATAAGCATGCCATGTAAGAAGAGAAAGACCTCTTCATGTAAACAAGTTTAAAGTTACATAAATTCTAAATATCCATAGTTTCAACTATATTAAGGATGTGGTACAGGCGTAAATGATATACAAATGTTTAAAGTCGTAATTGAACACAACATAATATTTAACAAGTCAACGCAAAGCGTGGCATCCCCTCGCAGGGTAAAAATGGCCTATATACATCAGAACAAGTGACTTCCATTGGACCATACTATTATATTATTATTAGGCAAGGAAGTTAACCACATTTTGACATTATATAATTAGGTGTTTTTGCATATTTAATGAGCTATGACCTTTCACCTTTAACCTACATACTCAGAAATTGAACTTAGGCTGTGCATGTATCTTGATCAGTACCATGTACCTTCAAATTATATTTTATTACAATTTGTCAATTATACTCAAGTTATCGAATGGAAACCAGATCCGCATATTTTTACCTTTGATCTACATACTCTGAAATTGAACTTAGGCTGTATTTTGATACCATGAACCTTCATATCAAATATCATTCAAATTTGTCAAACATTACTCAAGTTATCGAATGGAAACCAGATTCGCATATTTAATGAGCTATGACCTTTGACCTACATACTCGGAACTTGAACTTAGGCTGTGTTTTTTTATTCCATGTACCTTCATATCGAATTTCATTAAAATTCGTCAAACATTACTCAAGTTATCGAATGGAAACCTGATTTTCATATTTAATGACTTATGACCTTTGACCTACATACTCGGAAATTGAACTTACATGTAGGCTGTGTTTTTATACCATGTACCTTCATATCGAATTTCATTAAAATTCGTCAAACATTACTAAAGTTATCGATCGGAAACCAGATGTGTATATTATTGCATATTTAATGAGCTATGACCTTTGACCTACGTACTCCACAATCGAACTTTGCCTGTATTTTGATATCATGTACCTTCATATCAAATTTAATTAAAATCCGTCAAACATTACTAAAATTGGTAAGCAAGCCATTTAAAAAGAGAAAGACCTCATGTACAAACTTTTAAAGTTACATAAATTCTAAATATCCATAGTTTCAACTATATTATGGATGTGGAACAGGCGTAAATGATTAATGTTTTAAGTCGATATTGAACACAACATAATATTTAATTACTAATTATGATCATCAAAATGTAATTGATTAAACTCTTTTTTCTGCAAAACATTGTTTCGTTTGTTTATTTGTTTTACCTGACCGGTAAGAAATCATGTGTATGCTTCTAAGTGCTTGTTAAGTTAGTAAGCAGCCTACGGAAACCTACGGCCTAAGTCCTCTCAAGGGACTTGGTAACGAGGACGAATGCCTTACCAAAGGGCTGAAGCGGATCGACTTGGTTTCGAACCCGGTAACGAGACCACTGTACTGTTCTTCCACTGGGCCATCAAACCTCATCAAATACGTCTTCAAAATTAATAAACCCACCTTCGCACGAAGGGAGAGGAGCTGACAAAGTAGTGTCCTCCAGACAGGTCACAGACGATTCGCCAGTTAGATTGTATCCAACATCACAAACGAAATGACAGGTCGTATTGTAAGTCACACTCCCAAGGCACAGTAAGTTGGATGTTAAGAGATTGGATGGTAGCCGGGGAACTTCACAAGCTACGGCTGTAAGAAAGCAACATATTAGCACAATCGCAAAGCATTTCTAAAAAGTCGACTTAAAGGGATCGTTTATAAATCTTAAATCTGGGATACACGGCCCTACGTGTTATGATGTCACCCCTGATGTCACCCCTCGGCACGCCTCGGGCGATATCAGGATGCGACATCCACTAGAGCCTATAAACAACTATTCCTCTCACAGCAGTCATTATATCTATATTATGTCCCTCCGTGCATGAAGATGAAAGGTTGGGTGGCAGCTGTGGTACGTTACAGGTTTCAACTGCACATAAATGTTGATAACAATAATGGCAGGTAAACTAATTGGTGAAATTAATACATGTTTTAATCTTACTGAACGAAGCCAAAGATCATTTTAAAAGTATGATTGTGTACATTAATTGTACAGAATCGGTTGTTTGGAGAGAGATCATTCGAAGAACCTGATACAGGTTTTATTCTCGAAAATAAGACATATTCGTTACAATAGACAAGTCCCACCTAATCTGTGTTGTACACATTAGTCTTCTTTTAAAATATATATTATATCGCTAAACTTGTATATATTAGGGGCATTAGACAAGTTGTTGTGTAACTGTGAAAGCGTTCATATAAGAGCTAACAAGTGGCTTTTGACGTTGAATCTTCAAATGTCTCCAACAATCAGTCATTGAGAAAAAAAATGTACAAATTTAAATCGTCAACAAAAATCTACCCTCATTTGAAAAATTTATAGAAAGTGTTTATCTCCACATGAAGGCAGAACATCAGAGAGAGAGAGAGAGAGACGTGTTTGCCAGACATTGGTACACAAGGAGATCCTACAACATTGTATCCCACATCACAGACAATAGGATACTTTCAACCAAGTCATTGTGCTCATTCATTTGAAAACTACTTTTTCAGCTGTCGTAGTGTCTAAGAGGATAATCTAAGATCAGGAAAATATCGACGGAAAAATCTTTGGATCCCTAGATAAATTATCCAATCACCAACTAAATATTTTAGGGGAAAATATTGTACAAAATGTCAACTCCTTTAAAAAAATGGTATCGAAAAGTTTACCTTCACATTGAGGTAGAAAATCAGAGAGAGAGGTGTTTGCCAGACATGTTACTGATGCAGATCCAACAAGATTATATCCTACATCACATGAGTATGAACAGCTTTCTGTGTAATTGATGGATAGTCCTGCACTGCATTGTGACGTCATAGGAGAAAGACGTGGTGGAAGCTCGGGTATGGAACAGGATACAACTGATAACAAAAGGAAAATGTATGATGCGTTTTAAAATAAACAGGCAGTTTTAAAACCATGACTTGGGAAGTGTTTTAATTTCAGCATTTCCTATCTCGGGGAGTTGAAATGACGTATATAAAAATGAAGTGCATGCATGGCGTAAGAAATTGACTACCGGGTATGTGTAAAAATTGACACATTTTACCATGAAAAAACTTCAAAGTTAAAAATGAAAGTCAGATGAAAAGTTCCCAATTTGTCAAGAGAATACAACAAATTCTCGATTCAATCCATTCTTACTCATTAAAAGATATGGCATTTAATTAGAACCGAGTATCAATAAAAAGAAACCATATTATTGCCAATATGAAGAATGGAAGAATATCAATTTATCTTTTGAAGAAAAACGATCTGTCTGCAGAAGTTACCTAGAATTGTGACTGTGAATGTGCAAGTAGCTTTGTTTCCATGTAGATCACTGGTTGTGATGTTAACAACCGTGGTACCAATAGGGAACATAGATCCGGACACAGGAATGGCTATTGGAGGTGTTGTGAAGTTGGAATTATCCCTTATCACGGGAGGTGACCAGTTCGTATTAGTAAGGGGACTTCCGAGAGTTTGATTCCGAATGATATCGTCTGGGCAAGTGATGTTAGGGGCTTCAGCATCTGCGAGCAATCATAATTCATGGTGAACTTCAAAAAACATAGTTTGCAGGCACAACCCCTATATATATATATATATATATATGGATAACAGAGGGTCTGAGTTACGAGACTATACAGAGCCAAAATAGAGTCTGTTCCTGTGAACTATTTAAAACATATATGCCATTCTATTTCGTTTATGCATTGCGTCATAGTTCGCATACCCCGGACGCTAAATTCTTATTCCTACGAACTAGTTATACCTGCGCATGCGCACGTCATTATCGGCGACCTCCTAAATATACGGCTTATTTCGTAAGACTGGTCAACATCGCAGCCATATGTATATATAAAGCGCAACCAGTCGGTGTTGCGTGATGGGACAGAGTACTGCGCTTGCGACTGAAAGGTCTCGAGTTCGAATCTGGGTGGGACGATCTATGAAATCAGTTTTCTTTTGCTGATATTATAGTAAGGAAACTTAGAGAAAATACAAGTACAGTATTATAGTTGTAGTTTCTCTCGAAGTCGTCAAAGCGGATAAAAAAAACTAGTTCGTAGAAAAAGAATTTCGCATCCCGCACTTGGTGAAATTTAACAGGAAATTACTCGTTGCTTTGTAAGAAATATCGCACGCAACATCAGCGCAATTCTGTTTCCCACCAAGACATCCTGCGAGGAACTAGGAAACCTCTTTAGTCACCTTTTCATAGTTTTTAAGCAAGGGGGAGGGGGCCTACTGAATTAACTAAAATCAAAATATCCCCATGAAAATATAATCAATCGGTTATATATAACATTTCAAAATGTGGTTGAGAGGATGCGCCTACTTTGCTCTTTAAATGTTCAAATTTCATCAAAGATAATTCTGGACAAAATATTTTAAAAGTGTCGGGAAAAAACTTACCTGTTCTGAGCCTTTGGTCTTAAGATACATTTTTGTTTTGATTAGTTCAAAGTTCATAGTTCATTTTATTTCTTCTTTCACAAACATTTGTACATAAAATTTCAAATTAAGTAACTGGAACAGCAGATTATCAAATTAACAAACATAATTTGAAGTGTGCAATAATTATGTTCAACATACAACTCTTGTTATTAACTAAAGAAATTACATTTAATAAAAAGTTACTTCTGTATAAAGATCATGTTCTATACATGAACGAAAGAGGAGGCCTTATAGAACTCTGGGCTTGTTAGAGCATGGTCCCTAAACAGAATATAATACCTGAATGCTTTAATTTCTTTGAAGAAAAAATGCATAACAACTAAACAACTAAACTTAACAACTAAAGGAGAACATGGAAAGATATATATATATATATAAGGATGGAGAGCGAAAGCGCAAAACAGAACAAAACAATAACAGAGAAAAGTTGAGAAAGAGGAAAGTTATATGTAGGGGAAATGGTGATGGGGAATAAATAGAAGAGAGAGAGAGAGAGAAAAAAAAGAAAAAGTACATTAGAGTAAAACAGAACAAAAAGAGTTTGCTAATAAATGAAGAAATGTTGGTAAGGTCAGGTAAGGGTCAGCCTGGAAAAGAGAGGGGAGGAGACAATGAAGCAAGAAAAAGAAAATTACATACAATATCATATGTGATGACATAGTTTTTATATTAAATGCTTTCAGCATAATTACTCAATAAATGTAATTTCAGTTTGCGTTTAAAAACAGTGACACTGATATAGTTACATCAATAGGAAGTGAGTTCTAAAACTTGGGACCAGTACCAGCTAATGTATTCAAAGCAAAGGCATTTTTCACACGTGGTATATGGAGTGCAGCTGCCTGTCTTGTATTATAACAGTGAATTTGACTGTTCTTTCTCAATAGCTGTACTAACGTATTTGGGAGAGTACCATTTTCAAAATCATACATGATTGAACCTAACTGCAAGAGATAGATACCTTTAATAGTTTATTACTATGAAACAAAACATTAGTATGAGCACGATAATTTACATATTCTAATCACCCTCTTCTGAGCGACAAATAGCTTATTTAGTTTCGTTTTTAATGACTTCCCCCATGCGAACACTCCATATTTCAGATAAGGCAAAATCAGAGTAGAGTATAAACTAAGCAAAATTTCTTGTGGCACAACAGAACGTTATATATAAATTACATCAGTATTTTTAGAAATAACTTTACAAATATTGCTACAATGTATACCCAAGTCAGCTTCTCATCAATGTGTATTAAACCCAAGAAACTTGGTGTAAGTTACCCTCACAATAATAGCATTATCAAAAGTACGCCTCCATGTAAGTCTCTTAGGGTAAGTCTCTAGGGAATTACTAAAAAGCATATACTTTGTCTTTTGAAGGTTCAAAGACAACTTATTTGCACGGATCCACAAAGTTACTTTTTTTAATTCACTATTAACTGTTTCTAAGAGAAAAAATACACTTGAATCATTTGCAAAAAAAAATGAATGATAGGACGTCAGATGAAAAATGAGGAAAAAAATCATTAATATATGATACAAAAGGAGGGGGCCAAGAAAGGATCCCTGAGGGACTCCACAGGATATATTTCGATTACTTGAGTTAATTTCATTTAATGATCCATATTGTTTCCTGTCAGTTAAATAGCTCCTGAACCAACTAAGAGCGATGTATTCGGTTCGTGCATAAAATCAAAAAAGTTCTTCTGACATCTAAAGATAGGGTCCTGAAGTTTCAACCCAAAATTACAAAAATATTCGTTAAACTTATCCACAATAATGTGTGTATCTTCTAAGGAACAACCATTCACATTTATACATTTAATATTTGAAGTTTTTAAAGGTAATTTAAAAATACTTCTAATTACTTTCCATGTATTTTTAATGTTATTAAATGTCATTTTGAATCGAGCAGAATAATATTGTTTCTTTGCAGTACGTAGAAAGAGGTAGGAGTATTTCTATAATTAGAATACTTTCTCCACATAAAATCAGAGCTTCTCGTTTTATATTGATAATACAACTTGTTTTCTTAGTAATAGACTTTAATATTGATTTAGTTATCGATGGCATACGAGGAACTTTATTATAGTTCTTCTTTTTGTATTCTGTAGGTGGGACATTCTCATCATACAACAAATGAATTTATTAAAGAAAT